GTTGTGCTATCCTATGTTTGAGTACATGTTCAATCATCTTGAGGCCATGCAATCAAAGAAGAAGGCCAACAAGTATCCAGAAATTGTCAAGAAGGCAGCTGTTCCTGCCCTCACTATCTTGAAGGTATGTGTATCAAGTGAGCTATGCAATGCAGGTGGCGAAGTTTATCAGCAGCATGTTTAACCAAGATACTCTTCAACAGAAATATTACAAAAACAGTGATGAGGTACCTGACCTCTATTATTTATCAACAGCGCTCAATCCTACCTGTAGGTTGAGTCTTCATTGTAGCTTTTTGGAAGTACCACATATTTAGAACCATCTTTCCAGGTTGGTGTAGTTTTGCCTCCAGCCTCTACAATATAACTCTTGATCGCTTCACGGTTGTCAAGACCTTGAGAAAGAACAAAGAGGTAACCAGCAAACGCTAGTGAGGAGGAAGAAGTACTCGTGGTTGATGTCAATGGAGGTGAATTAATTGGCTCCATGTAATAATACTATTATGATTGATGAATTGATTGAGAATATGAATATTTGATTTCATCCAAAGGGAGGTGAAGAGCAAATAAATTAATAATATTATTTTTGCAAAGTGTCATTTTGGGCCATTTAAAAGAACTAATACCTCGGGCGTCGTAAGTTTGGTAAACTACAAATTGTAAATCGTCCACATGTCTGCCAAGTATCCAATGCCATACACCCAAGGTTTCCAGACGGAGATTAATCCAATTGGTGCGAAGGTAGTTGGCGAGGTGAATGTTGTTGTCGTCCCAGCACTGTTGTACCTACTCCCGTCATCGGTCAAGCAAGTGGAAACCAACTATATATAAGCCTATAGTCTGTTGCACGTATGTTGACCGCTTACCAACATACTGACTACGCTGTGCGTTAATGTCGAGATGGTTTATATCAATGACACGTCACTCCAAGCCTCGAGTCGTCCCTTATCCAGTCGTTCAAGGCCAAGGCTTGACATTTTACGTTAATGAAGTCGTTCACAGGTGGTGCCCTCTACCACTGGCGACATCCTTCTGATGGTCTCTACCTTATAACAATAAATAAAGACTTCTACATGGCTGAGAAGACATGACTGAATCAAAGTTATTAATATTATTATTGGTTCAACATAACTGTTTGAACTTGAATGATAGACATGTGAGGTTGTTGGGTTTAACAAAAATAGAAAGTTTTGGTCAAAGTGTGGTGTTTAGAGTTGATTCACAATGATTCATTGAGAGTCATTCTTGGTTTTTTATTCTTGGGGATCAACAAGAGTATTTCCATATCTAGTATTTAATCATACTCTAGAGAACTTATTGACAATCAATCCAACCATTCAAACATTCCATCTCTTATCAAAATAACATATATATTAAATATAAATATAATAAATAATAATGCCACTTTCAATTATAATCACTGTACTTCAAAATAAGAAGATAAGTGTACCCTTTAAGAAGGAGTACACAGTGTCAGAGTTGACAAAGGAGATTGTTAGACGTGCTAATATACCATCGGATGATGTTTATATTCTGGAGCATAATGATTCTGAACTATATGCTCAAGACACTCTGGAGGATCTAGGCCTCAATGACAATGAGCAGTTGGTCATCAAGTTGGCTGTCCCTCCAAAGACCATTGTCGGTGAGCCTGACTCCACCACCACCACCACCACACCAACAACATCAACATCTACATCAACATCAACAACATCACCAGTTGGAGCTGACTTGGTTGGACCCACCAGCGCCATGACCATCTCAAAGTCTGTGTTGATTGAGGAGATCAGACAGATTGACATCATTGTGTTGGATCTGAGTGGATCAATGAAGGCCTCTGCATTCAAGGGATCGGCCAGACCTGGTGAACTAGAGATGACAAGGATAGAGATGGCACAGGCTCTGTTCCAGACATTCACCGACAAGTTTGTCCAACAAGAGGTGCCTGCCTGTGTTGGACTCGTATGCTTTGGTGAGCGCATCGAATTGACCTTTGCGCCAACACGCAACTTTGATACATTCTCAACAGAGCTGGGTGCAGTTGTGGCCAATCAATCAAAGACCAGACTATACGAGGCGATCAAGATGGCTGGCGAGACCATTGTCTCATTCATCGCCATGCCCGAGGAGAAGCGTGGCGTGAAGCTGGCACCACCACATCTACTCAACTGCCGTGTGTTTGCTCTGACTGATGGCCAGGACAACAGCAACGTGGAGCCATTCGGCGTGTATCAATATCTTAAGGAGCACAACATCGTCCTGGACGCCATCCCCATTGGTGAGGGCGCTGACAAGCTCGGCTCATTCACCAAGGCAACTGGAGGAACGTGTTTTGTCGCCAACTCATCAGTGGAGGGTGTTGGATTGTTTGAGCGAGAGGCCCTGCTCAACTTGGCCGCTCGTGACAACTTCAAGCCATTCTCATTGGCCATTGATAGTCGGCAGGCATTCGAATCGCTCGCGGCAGAATTCGTGACGACTATCGAGCGCAAGGTGGAGGTCACCGCGGGCAAGTATGTGAGCCAGATCAGCAGCGCAGCCGTTTCCTCATCCACAACTTCGTCGGGCTCATCCAAGCGCATCCTTAAGGAGTACAACGCTTTCAAGCAAGAGATTGACAGCTCGACCAACCCAGTCTTCCACATCTTTGTCAGCGACAGCAACATCAGCTCGTGGAGGATACTGATGAAGGGTCCACAGGGCACGGCATACGAGCAGGGCTACTTCCTGGTGTCTGCGGTGTTCCCCGACGACTACCCATTCAAGCCACCCAAGGTCCGTTTCGAGACCAAGGTATACCATTGCAACATCAGCAGTGATGGAGCTGTCTGTCTGGACATACTCAAGGACCAGTGGTCACCAGCACTGTCCATCCACAAGGTGATGCTGTCACTGTCATCGCTGCTCACCAGTCCCAATCCACACGATCCACTCGATGTCGTCAAGGCTGGTGTCTACCGAGACAACCCCAACGAGTACTGGAACCAAGCCCGTTCCTGGACCACAATCTATGCATCTTCTCCACCTGCAACTTATTCCTAAGTGGAGTGAGTATCAGATACTTTGTTTGGGTCATTCAACTTTACGACGTTGTAAAAAATAATTAATTAAAAAAAACTAAAGAAAAGTGTGTGCTTTGGACCAAACGAAAAACAATTCAATGAACAATGATTGATTCCGATCATCCAATCACCAACACTCGTGGTGCACAATCATAAACACTAGTTTTAATCAATCAATCATACACACATTTAAGTAAACACACATAACACACAGTTAATTCACATCGGATCACACACACACACACACACACACTCTTACGTCTATCTGTACCATTGACATGTGAGTGAGAGTGAGAGTGAGCAATTGTATTCATTCATTGCATAGACTACAGCAGAAGACAGATAGAGATAAATATACAAACACCACAGTAGTACAGATATATGTATAATTATACACATATACACTACTTATAATATTAGTATAACAACAACACACACACACACATCAATGTATAATATCTTCAAGTCGATAGTGTATTAGATCTTTATTATTTATACATACATATATAAACAACAACAACAACAACAAACAAATATATAGTTCCTAATACAATGGAACCTATAATGGACACGAGTGATGATATCACCTCAAACAACAACATCAACAACAATAGTAGTAGTAATAGTACAACAATGGATCAAGCAGCATCATCATCATCAATGATAACATTGGACATTGCACCATCGACACAACATCCATCACATCGTAAAATGAGCGATGACATCTCGAACAACAACAACAATAACAATAACAATGGTGATACTAGTAGTAGTAGTATTGAGATCGACACTAGTAGCATGCGTATGAGAGCACGATCAAAGTCTACAGATTCACAGATTAGAGCACAGACTAGAAAGATATCAAAGTGGCCACCGACCATTATACTGGCCATTGAGTCTGCCATTGAACTGGCGACGATCTTCCCACTAGTCGTTGGCATCATCTATGTCAACATCGCCTATCTCCTCTATGGATGCTATGGCATTGTAAATTCACCATTCACTCTAGCCGCCATGTTGGGTCTCTACCAACAAAGGTCAAGGCCATTAAGAATAGTAAGTCACAATCATTGAATGAATGAATGAATGATCATAGTGAGCATGACTAACGAATCAATCAATGTTATTAGTATTTATTATGGAAGATAGTATCGATTGTATTAATAGTGTTGATTAGTATTGCCATTGGATTACTGGCCAAGTATGACCAGGTGGACTATGTGGAATCAAGATTGATCAGTGTAATAATATTGGTGGGCATTGGTGCATTCACTATCGTATGGCATATAATGACAATGATGTGGATCAAGCCTGTACTCCAGGACTACCTCTCCAAGCAGAGTTCCAAACTGAAAGACGACGAGAACATCATGATGGACGATGAGGCCGAGTATGAAATGTTGAGCAAGATGACTACAAAGTATGTTGATGATCTTGATCGATGGTCATGATGTTGTTGCATTTCACTAACATTCCAATCAACAGACCACAATATGGAGTGTCAGCGCCAGAGGACCCTATTAGAGTGGCAATCAGGAAGTTTAATAAGGATCCAGAGAAGGTATGAATGAATGAATGATCTTGGGACTATTCCATCCCATCACTAACGCTTGGTACCATACTTAGGGCATGCAATACATTCATGATAACAATATATTATTGGGATCAACGATGTTTACCAATATTGTAGACTTGCTTCACAAGGTGGACGATTTGAACAAGGTCAAGTTGGGAGAGTATCTTGGAATCGCTCATAATAAGACATTGTTGCAGGACTTTGTAAACTACTATAGTTTCGTGGCGAAGGAGTTTGATGTGGCACTGCGCGAGTTCTTGGCCAAGTTCCGTCTGCCCAGGGAGGCACAGCAGATCGATCGCATCATGGAGTGCTTCGCCATCAAGTACCATCAGGACAACCCGGGCAAGTTTGCTGACTCGGACACAGCCTATCTGCTGGCATTCGCTCTGATCTTGCTCAACACGGACGCTCACAATCCGGCCATCAAGTACAAGATGTCCAAGAAGGTGTTTGTTCAGAACAACTTGGAGCTGAGGAAGGGCAAGAAGCAGGACCTGACGCCCGAGTACCTGGAGAAGCTGTACGATGGCATCCACAACGACGAGCTCAAACTGGACAATGAGAACCTGTTCTCCAACGCCCAGCTAAAGGGCTGGCTGCACAAGATGACCTCCAACAAGAAGCACTGGCAGAAGCGATGGTTCATTCTCAAGAACAACTGTTTGTACTACTTTGACAATGATAAGGACGAGGAGAACCCCAAGGTGATCATCCCGCTCGAGGGTCTTAAGGTGACCAAGCTATCAGAGACAACGTTCCAGTTGGAGGACTCGGCCGTGCAGATGATCAAGTCGGTCAAGCTGACGCCAGAGGGCCCAGTGGAGGGCCAGCACGAGAAGTACGCCCTACGTGCCGACTCGCCAAAGGAGGCTAGCAAGTGGATGGACTCTATCACCAACAACGTCCTGGGTAGTCCAGTGCTTTTGTTGATCAAGAAGAAGAAGAAGTTGCTTGATAGACGCACGACCACAATACACGTCTGACCTTGTTGTCCTTACACCATATACCTAATGATTGCTCTCGTCATTATGTTTGACAAATTTGGCCAGTACATTGAGAACATTTACTTGGACCGAGGCCATGGCAATGCACTGACAACTGTCAGTCGTGAAGTATGTATGTGTGACGGATTTTTATTCTTCGCTGCACACCAAAGCATGCCATGACGTGAGCAATCAGCCCATCATTAAAACTATTGATCTAATCAAAAATCGAGCTTGAAAGGGGCATTGATCGACACAAAAAAGATTTGTTTCAAGACGTTAATATTTAATGTCTATCAAACCGTTCCGGAAAGATGTTGGTGCGAGTGTCAATTGTTGACACTGAATGTCAGAAGATAGGCAGACTGAACATTACATACATATAATAATAACATAGATAGATATAATTTAAAGTTGTGTGTGTATCTAAGTGTTTCACGTCATTAAGTATGTTACACCCTTTCAATTGCATCTGACACCCCAGACACGTCAAGATATATATCACCCACATGCATACCCACACATTCAATCACAAACGAACCAAGTCAGATAGGAAGAGTTATAATGATCGAGATATTGGCCTTTACACCCAGTCACAATCCAATCGATCAATCAATCACCAAATCAATCAATCAATCAATCATCACAATCAATCCTAATCCAAATGATTTACTTTATCGTTATTAATATTAATATAAACCTGTAGTTTGTTTAGGCCTAAGATAAACAGATTGTTGTTTTTAGAGTGAGCGAGAGAGTTAGCTTACGATACAGATACATAGATAGATAGAGTTTGATTAATCTTGTATACACTGGAACTCAACAACAACGACATCACAAGCCATGGTGAGAGTCAACTGTGATTACATACCAGCATGGCCATTCGTCTATTACAAGAACAAGACAAATGTAATCCTACATATCCTCTGGCCATTTATCACATGGTAAGTTATAATAAACTTCAAGTGAAAAGGAAATGAATGATTGGACTCGGAGACCACACTCATTCATGACACAACACTAACATTCATTCCATTTCCATTCATTCATTCATTCCAGGAAAGAGACAATCTCTGGATACAAGGTGTTGGCATTGTTCTACTTCTTGTTCAGATTGACATGGAATGAACGCAAGTCAACTCAATATGTTGATATATTTTGGCCTATTATACATTTGGAGTATAATGATAATGGCTTTCGATTTGGTATAAGGCCTCTCTTTTGGCTCGTGTGGACGGACAAGTCATTCAAATTCATACTGTTTGGCCTGATAACGATAGTTTCCAAGGATGGCGGCGATGACATGTGGGTGGTGATAGCGCCATTCATCTGGTTCCGGAAAGATGGTGATCGGTACTTCTTCACACTGGCACCCATACTGTGGATAACAGGACGTTCCAACAATGAGCGACTCAAGATCGTATTGCTGCCAGTTGGAGTCTTCTCGAGAAGTAGCAGTGGAAATTGGTGGCTAAACATCGCATTCCTCTTCCATCTGGCAGGTGGCGACGACTTTTACTACTGTCACCTGTTGCCATTGTTTGTCGTAACTGGCAACGATAATGGAATGCTGTTCATCTTCATGTTCCTGTACTACTACATCCGGCGACAGAGTAGCTTCACGACATTGCTGCTCCTGGCATTCTTCTACCGCTCTTGGGACGAAGGCAAGTCACGCTTCCTCAACATCTGTCTGTTGTTCAACTATCGTCATCTGAGCGGCACGGTCACCAACGTGGTGTTGTTCCCTCTGATGTGGATACGCTCAGTGTCGGGCCACTCATTCACCTTCCACCTGTGGCCTGCCTTTGGCTTCAAGGTGTCACAAAAGTCGCGTGGCTTCAACGTCTACGTGCTCTACCCCATCGTGATCTACAAGAACAAGCATGGTGGCGCGTACAAACGCTTCATGTTTTTCTACGCCCTGATACACTACCTGCACGACAAGGAGGAGCGCATCAAGCTAGTCATCTTCCTACCCATCTTCCTCTATCGTCGCATGCAGTTAAGCTCCAGTGGATTCATCCTACTCTACTTCTGGCATCGCAGACGTCGTCAGATCAACATCCAGATGGAGGACATCCAACGCACTACTTCTGGCGGAGACCCAGACCTGTCAGACGTGCCCGTCGCCAACATGACCAAACACTACAAACTTTTCTATGACGTTCAGGGCTTCCTGCCATTTGTATTCTACGTACGCAACCAAGACCTGCGGTCTCTGGTCGTGTTGCCAGTTCTCCTGCTCAAGTGGCACACAGACACAATCAACTCTACATTGTTGGCGCCACTGTTTTACCAACGTCGTCGCGGAACTGACCTCGTGCGATGGTTACTACCACTGTTCTATCACAAGCAATCCACACATGGTGAGCAGGAGCGAACCATCACACTGTCCCCATTGTACTACTATTGGCAAAAGGGAGACAATCACTTCCGCTTCATACTGCCAGTGTTTGTGGACTTTGTCAAGGGTGAGTCGCACCTGGTCTACATCTTCCCAACCCTCATTCACTACCGCAAGTCTATATTCAAGTTCGAAACGTTCTTCCCCTTCTACTTCCGCATCCAGGACGCTGCCAAGAACGAGCTGTTCACATACTACTTCCCCTTCTGGGGCTCAGGCTTCCAGGGCTCAAAGTGGCGCAGCTACTACTTCCTCTTCCCATTGTTCGCATACAAAGAGGACCCTGAGCGACATGCCAAGATCTACGACATTCTCTTCCCACTGTTCCACTTTGATCGTGACGACGAATCACACTCAATTCGCATACTTCCATTCTTCTGGCGCTCGGTCAATGAGCGAAATGAGATGTTGCTCATCATGCCATTATTCTGGCGCTTCGTCACGGACAAGGATCGTCGACCCCAGATCAACACACTCTTCTTGCCATTCTACTTCAAGCGTGACTCTGCCCAGTACCTCTTCACATTCGCCTCGCCTGCCCTCCTGCCGCCTTACTACATACATTACCATCGCGAGGCCAGCCAGGTTGAAAAGACCTTTGTCTTCCCATTCTACGCGCACAAGATCAAGGGCCTTGACCATCTGCGGTGGTTCCTACTCGTTCTCTACCGTCACACTTGGCGAGACTTTAGTGAAGACATGTACATGAACATCCTTCTGTACTTCAAGTTCAACAACAGTAAGCTGAGTGTCAGTGGATTCGTCCCGCTTTGGGTGCAATGGTTGGTCAAGGACAAGCAACACTACCATCTACGAGTTCTGCTCCTCTACGCCTACGACCGCATGAAGTCTTCACTCAAACATCGCACCAGGGTGTCCATCCTCTACCTGATCACCAACAGAGTTGCACTCTTTTGTTGGAAGCACTGCACCAAGTTTGTTGGTGGAGAACCTACAATCTCCTCGCCAGGCGAAGCAATGGACGTAGTTGCAACAACGATTGATCCTGAAACTGGCGAACCTCGAGCGATAGAGATGACAGAGACCTCGCCAACACCAGGTGGTGAGGACTACAATGGTGCGACAACCGCCGACTCAAGTGCCAAGCGATACAAGTCCACAAAGGTGTACTTCTTCCCATTGTTCCACTTCAAGAGATCCGAAGAGACCTCGTACTATCAGTTCGCATTGCTCTGGTTGGCCAAACCATACGTCTCATTCCTTTACCGTTTCAAGGGATCAGATGAGAGCGTCTTCCATATCTTCCTGGCATACTACTTCAAGCGCACAGACTCCTGGCGTCAGGTGGCCCTGGTCTGGTTCTTCCACCCAGTGGTCAGTTGCTTCTTGTACGAGGACGTCCTGACAAGAATAATAGTCCGTGTGTTCCCCATCTTCTGGTTCAAACGACGCATTACCCCAGACAACCAGGTTGGCAGCAAGAATCTATCCATCATTTACATTGTGCCTCGCTATGGACTGTTCAACTACCGATGCAATCAGTCCAACACTGAGAGGACACACTACTTCTTGCCACTCTACTACTATTCTCGTCAGGGAGAGACCGACCGTCGTCTGGCAATTATCTGGTTCGCACATCCAATCGTGTCGTTGTTCACCTCGATACGCGACAGTACGCACAGCATTCACCGTCTGTTCCCAATATTCTACCGATACAGCAGCAGCCAGGCACATTCATTGGCGGGCAGGAGTGGCATTGCGTTTGTTTGGATTGGACATCCAGACGTCAGTCTGGTGCGCTACCATCATAGCACCGACTCTTCAATCTTTGCCATCTTCCCCATTCTCTGGACCAAGTGGTCACATGTCGACGAGAAGTTCCAGTTGTCAATCGTATACATTGTTCGCGGCTTTGGTCTCATTGACTATCGTCGCAAGAGTGCTGACGAAGTGCGCTTCTACATGCTTCCAATCATACATGTCCAAACAGAAAGCACAGAGACCAATGTGTCCATCGTGTACCTCGTTCATCCACTGGCATCATTCATCAGATTCAACTCATCATCGTCAGAGACCAAGTTCTTTGTATTCCTACTCATCTATATCCTCAGTGGTGATGACCGTTCCAACTTCTCCCTTCTCTGGCTTGGTGATCCACGTGCCTCATTCATTGGATACTGGTCCAAAGGCAACCGTTCACACTTCCACATTGCCCTCGCCTTTTGGCTATCGTTTGTCGATGAGAACATGCAGCTTGGTCTACTTTGGCTGGGCTGTCTAAGGGCAAGTGGCGGTGTCTACTACCCAATCGCGCTATTCCTGTCGTTCAGCGACGGCAGCTACTACACATCACATCTTATCCCAGTTTATCGATACACCAACCGCATCACAGCGGGACATGAACGTCTGTGGATTCTGTTTGGCATGATCTACCTGGTGACCAAGGCCGATGTCACCGACTTTAGATGGTGCTACCGTTGGATACGTGTCAAGTCTGGACCATCAGTCAGCTTGGTCGAGGTCAATCCATTCATCCATTACAAGAGAAAGAGTGGAAACTCTAGACTTTTGTTCCTTGGTGGAATGTGTGGCTACGACGATTCCGCTCGCGGTGGTGGATGTCGTGTCTGTTGTATCGAATGCTAAAGAGTTAGAAGACAATGTTGTTGTCAATAAATTATTATATTAAGACTAATGAAGATTTCCAGGTGATTGGGCTGTGATCCGAGATTGGCCAACATGTCTTTGACTATTATTACACCATAGTATTATCTTTAATAGGTATGTTGATTCTGTTTGGGTATACTAGTCGTTGTCTAATGATCTCTCGCAGTTCGTCTGTAACAAAGTTGATGAGCTTATCCAAATCATTGAGTACATGTTGAGATGCATCACCAAGCTGTGCCTCCACCTTTAGATCTTTGATTGGACCCTTCTGATCGTCCTCTATATTCCCAGATGGTAAAAGACAGAAACATACATTCTCTTCATCATATATTACAGATGCAATGCCTGAGAGTGAGAGCATTAGTTAGTCGTGAGGCCTAACAGACCATCGTCCCGTCTTGTCTCGCTCATCATTGACATCACCTACCTGATATGTGAGGGCTTGATACTTTGATTGAGATGGGGAAGATGATGAACTTGGGCGTTGGTGCGTTGACAAGAAGCTCAGCTTCTAGCATAAAGTGTGCATCGCCATCGTATGAGAATCGGACTCGTGCCTCGATACTGTTGCTTGGTCTTATAGGAGTGACGATGTTTGGGTCTGGGTCTGCAATGCTAATGATCTCGAAGCTAGGAGGCTTTGACCCCAGTGATAGACTTGTGATCTCAAAGCGACCGATGATATCTGGTTTGTTGATAGAGGCAAAGATCCTATTCAGGTAGTCCTTTGCCTTTATCGATTGCTTCTCATTGATCCTCTCCCAATATATCTTTAATGACATTGTTGTTTAAATGTATGTTTATCTATCTGTATGAATCGATCAATATTTGACGTTTTGATCATTATGACGATTGTTTGGCCCATTCAAAGTATGAACAGTGGAAGCGAGTCAGAGATAGATAGACCAACACTTAAACAAAGTAAGTGTTACCTATATTTATTAATAAGTAGTATTTATATATATAATTTATGATTGATGAAGTCTGTACAGTTTCTAATGGACATCCTTTTTGGTTGGAAACACACGACGTTGTGTTGGTAGTAGCAACGACAACGGTGTTGTTGATTGGGGGATAAGGGGGAGTTGTGTCATGCGATAGTGTTGGTCAGTCTTATTGGATCGACCATTCTACTATCCGCGATGATCAAATGAAAAGATTGATTGTGACTCTGGTGTCGAGTTGAGATCATTGATAATGTTGATGCCTTGGAACAACTCCATCTGTCTCCAAGCATGTTGTTGCTGTTGTTGCTGTTGTTGTTGCTGTTGTTGTTGCTGGAGTAGTGGAGATTGCTTTGGGAGTTGGTGGTCAGAGTCCAACAAAGAGTGTGGTCTGCTGATGTAGTTCAACGAGAGGCCGTGGAAGGAATCAGAGAGTGCATCACCCACTGATGAACCATTCAATGGTTGTTGTTGTGAGGGATGTCTGCTAACGTTGTTGTTGCCACTGTTTCCAAGAGCGCGAACACTTGGAACACCATAGAATGAAGATTCCTCCATTGAGTGTACAATGGAGTTGGAATTAAGTCCAAATCGAGATGAGCCAATTGGTGATTGCGTTATGCGTTGGGGCTGTGTCAAGAGCAAATGTTGTTGCTGTTGTTGTGATGAAAAGACTGAAGGAAGGTTTTGTGCATAGTTTGGTTGCTGTTGTTGTTGCTGTTGGTGATATCTTGGCGATTGGGCTGGTGAAGTTGTCGTTGTTGTCTGATTGGAGAAAATGGTGGGAGAGAAGGTCAGTCCCTGGAATGGGGATTGAGTAACGCTGCTTTCCAATGAGGTTGAGGCCGCAACGGGTGAAATTGGTTGAAAATGTGATGACGATGGTAACACCAGATCGTTGGAGAACTGGTGGTTGTTGTTGTTGGTGTACAGGTCAATGCTACTGGTGCTGCTTGAGTTGCGTAGTGCGTTTGATGATGTAGGTTGTTGTCTCCTTGTGAAGCCAGTGCCAATGTTGTTACCGGTGCTGGTCAATTGTGGTGGCTTTGGCAAGGTAGACTGAATGTTGCCAGTGCTGTTTGACAGGCCCATGCTACTGGTGTGTCTTAGCTTGTTCTGGAATGGCGTCTGTGATTGATGTTGTTGTTGTTGTTGGATTATTAGTTGTTGTTGGAGAATATGGTTTTGGTGATAATTGTTTTGTTGTTGTTGTTGTAGTTGGTGGTGTTGGTGGAACTGAGGTGGCATTGATAGTTGTGTTGGTAGTTGTTTGTTGTTGTTTGTCCTGTTGACGTTGTTGTTGATGTTTACGTTGTTGTTGACGTTGTTGTTGTGCAATGATGGTGCATTGACATTGGCAGTGAATGGTTGATCAATCTCCAACACTGGAGACTTCCTATTGCTTGGCGTGGCAACAGGTTGAGTATTGCCAACACTACCACCACTGGCACCAGCACTGACGTTGTTGTTGCTCTTGTATGACCAGTTCTGATACTTTGGAGACTTCTTTGAGGTGGCTACCTTCTTCTTGGAGAATGAACAACTGATCCTAACACCATTGACATCATTCTCGTTGAAGAACTTGATGGCCTCCTCAGTGGCGACCTCACCTCTCTGAGAGTCCTTAAAGTGAACGAATCCAAAGCCTTCGTAGTCTCCATTCTCTCTTCTTGGTATGTTGTAATGATTAATCTTTCCAAACTCTTTGCACTTGCTAAAGATTTGCTTATGTAATCCTGGCTTGGCCTGGTAATATTGTGTCATTTGCATTAGTTATTGAACGAATGAATGAATGAATGAACTAGACAATGTATGACATACCAATAAAGGATTAAATGTGATGTGAATACTTGATCGCTGATCACAAGAGTCGCTCCACTTGATCTTCACAGGCTTCTCTCCTACGTAGACACCATGGAGGTTGATTAGGGCGCTCTCGGCATCAGCTCGAAATTGGAACTTGACGAATGCGTAGTTGTTGATAAAGACACACTCCTTGTAATCGAGTGGTCCGTACGTGCTAAAGAAGGCGAGGAACTCCTTCTGGTCCAGCTTGGTGTCAACATTTGACACGTACAATGTGGATATTGGTATCGCCCAGTAGACCTTTAGCTCATGGTGAAGACATTTCGAAAGGTGCAATGAAGTCTTTGCAGTCAATGCTTCATTCTCAGTCTTGAAACCAGCAAAGCCATAGCCTAGTGAGTGTCCGACCTCGTTTGATTTGATCCTAAAGCTTATTGGGTTATACTTTGCGATCAATGGATAGAATTGCTCCTATTGATATTGTTTTGTCAGTGGATGGATGTAGGCGTTGGACATGTCAATAATAATAACGACGTACAGTGGTAATAGTATGTGGAATGTTTCCAATGAAGATATATCTCCTATCTCCACTGTTGCTCTTGGCCAACTTCTCAGAGTACACCATGTATTGGTCGACGGATTGTTGATCATTCTGACTAATGTTATCAAGGATACTGTTGTCTTGATGATGATGATGCTGCTGTTGTTGTGAAGCGGTGGATATCTCTGCTGCCGATGATGACATTATTGATTCCTCGGCGGCGGAGTAGGAGGCTGCGGCCGATGACGATGTTGACATTGAATCGATGATCATGGCAGCGGTGGCAGCAGCTGATGATGACATCATTCTTCGATCGGCATCATGACTGGCAATGATAGAATGTGTAATATATGAGTTGTTTGGGATGTTTGTTATCATTGTAGTTGACTATTTTACAATGTAATGTATATCTGCTGCTGCTGCTGCTTGGTTGTTGTTGTGGCTACCTGCTACCTTGAGCTGCTGCTGCTGCTGTTGTTTGTTTGTTTGCTTGCTTGCTTGCTGTGTCTGCTATTAAACGCCACTGCTAATTGTTTTGTTTTGTTTGATTGATATAGATATAGATAGATTGATTGATTATTATTATTAATATTATAATCTAGATTTTGTGTACTACTCTTGATGGTGGAGTCACCGATATAACAATGATGATTGATGATGAAGATGACGATGATGATGTTGTTGGTTGGTTGATTCAGTTGATGCAGATGCTTTTCTATTATTATTTGTTGTTGGGTGTTGTTGTTGCAAAAAACGTATTGTACTCTATGTTATAATTGTGTTGTTGTTGTTTGTGTATGACTATGTATCTGTGTATGTGAGTGAGTGAGTGAAAGTGGTGTTTGTGTATGTCTGTGTTGCAGAGCACGTGAGTATGTATATATATAAATATGTAAATGAATAAGTACAACAACAATTATTATTTAATTTTGAATGGTAGTTGGTTGGATGGATGGATGATGAGTGAGATGGAGCGAGAGAGTGGAGGTGACACCTGGTGTTGTTTGAAAGTGAATACATGCAAGTATTCAACAATAACACAACGAAAAAAACAAACAGTGCCAGTGGACGAAAGAACCAAAACAAGAAAAGTGGATTTTGATTGGTCGCTGTTTGTTCTGCTTTGTGTGGCTTTGTGACCATGCATAACACCCCTCCACAGGTGAGTTCCACATCCTTTTCGCACAAACGCACCATATCAAGCGTATTGGTTGGTTGATGTAGGTGTGTGTTTCAAATCTATCGTCATCTTTTTAATAATATTAATAATAATAATATTAATAATTCCATTGAATTGTTATTCAATCATAAATGAAGAAGAAAAAACATAATATAATATTATATTGTAACAAACTTCTCTCATTTATCTTATCAGGCTGCAATCATTTGCTTACCCCAGCAGCTGACAGAGACTGTGAACTCTTGGTTGTGTACATAGTGTACCCAGCCAATGGGTATGAAGAGTGCTTCACCGGCTTGAAGTGTAGTGGCATATGCCTGACCAACTCTCTCCATTGATGGATGCTCTGCCAATGGAATGCCGTCGGCTCCTCCAATGTTGACCATGCTGCGGACGACGTTGGACTCCTCCGAAGGTGGCACCAACACTACAAACTTTGATCCTCTGATCACCGCCACAACATTATCTCCAGTGTCCTTGTGGAAATGAGTGGCGGTGTTCTTGGCACCAATGAATGCGCCACGCACAATCATATTGTGTATGTTGCTATCGAACAGATGCTCGTTAAGGACATCGTTGCCCAACTGAGGAAAGTTGCCAAAGATGTCAAAGTTGCGAAGATACGGTGTGTTCTGATGAGTGGCTATTGGCTGAAGGTCTGGCCAGCCAGTGGTCGATAGTTGCCAATACTCTGAGAAGGGCATGGTGAAGATATCGGACATCTTTCCAAAGGTGCACATGTTGACCTCTACCTTGTGCTCACCAATAGTGGACAAGATATACTTGTCATCGATCCACTTGTTCATTGCAGGCCATGTCTTTGTCAAACCAGTAAACACCACTGGTGTGTTTGTGTTCAAATATTGGCTCAATGTTTCATTTGTTACATCAACTTGATCATTTCTAGTGATATCATGAATAACTACCATTGTTTGTTGTTATTGTTGTTTTATCTCTTATCTATATCACTTGTCTTTCTATTGTTGTATTGGTCCTCATGAGGAGTTATTTATAATCCATACCCCCCTCTTCCACAAGAAGATATGAATGACAACGAACTAATTTCTTTGATTACTTCATTGAAGTTTTTTCACACCAAACCAAAGTATTGGAATGAAAGTAGATATGTAGATATCTAGATAGAAGTACTTGTAAAAAGAGTATCCATACTTATACTTGTTTGTAATAAAACAATAAATATTATTTGGGATAGATCCTCTTAGAACTGATTTGAGATCGATTGTGTCATCGCCCAAACTTTCAAAAAAAAAGCAAAAAATAAATTAATAAATCCACCTCATCGAAAGAATGAATGAAACTAAACATGACCAGGCTCTGTTGAACCCATCGGTCAATCGTACACAACCACAAATAGATATATATATATTGTTAACAAAGAAAGAAACAACAACTACTACTACAAACAATGTCTAATGCATGGGGAAAAGCATTGGATCAAGCAAGCATTGTAAAGGCTAGCTTCAATGATCTAGAGAGAGCCTCGATCAAGGCTACTAGACACAAGATGAGAGTGCCCAAAGAGAAGCATGTCAGACGTTTGATCAACTACACAAATGAGCGTGTGGGTCCAATCGGTGATCTCTACATGTCACTACTCAAGAGGCTTGAACAACCTGATTGGATTGTAATGTATCACTCACTTGGCATCATTCATTCATGTATAGTTACTAACTAGAACATACATGACAATACAGATCGTATTGAAGACACTTGTAGTATTCCATCGATTGTTCCAACAAGGAAGCGGGAGATTCATAGAAGATCTCTCTCACAGAGGCATGGTGTTCCCTTTGGTCAGATTCACAGACATGACATCTACACAGGGTAGGTGTCAAGAGAGGAGAGGAGAGAAGACAGAGAGAGTGTAGAAGAAGGTTGTAACTGACACATATATGTACAGCTCACCAACAGTCAGTGTTCATTAGAAAGTACTCTACTTATCTAGAGGAGAAGATATTCGCATATCGCGAGAGCAAGCTCGAGTTTGAGAAGGAGTCATATAGCTCAAAGGGACTGTCCATCGAGCAACTACTCAATAGAATACCAAAGATGCAGAGACAGTTTGATGCCCTGATGGGCACACATGTAGATGAGGTCTGTGACAACATCATCACAATCAACGCCTTTGAATTGCTTCTCAAGGACAGCTTCAAGATGTACTGTAATTTAAATGATGCCGTATTGAATGTATTGGGTAGGTAGTAGTAGTATCATTAATGTCATGTGATCATGACACGTGTAGCATCATGTTAACCACTGGTGTTCCTCAATCACTAGAACAATACTTCAACATGACAAAGAGAGATGCAACAACAGCACTGGGCATCTACAAGACATTCATGAGAGAGACCAATGATATCATCAACTTCTTTGATGCATCTAGACGCAAGTTCCACATTGAACTTCCACATCTGACACCTGTAAGGACTAAGTTGTTTGACAGACATCTCATATGACAGTAACCTTACTTACCAATACCAATTCCCAACAACAGGCACCAGCTACAGTCATCAAGGGTCTGGAAGAGTACCTGCGAGACTTGGACGATGAAGTCACCAAGACACCAAACAAGACGACCACAGGCAATCGACAGAACCTTGGATCACAAATCAAGTCATCCAGTCAGTTTGAGAACTCAAAGAAGATTATGGATGATGCACCTCTAATCAACTTTGATGTATGTGTAGCCAATGATGTCAATGAGTATCACATGATATTGATCTAACATGTTTCAAACCCACCCATAGGATGACCTGTTCAGTTCAGCACCTCCTCAACAGACTATGCCACAGTATCAACAACAACAACAGTTCCAACAACAACAACAACAACAGCCACAACTTTATCAACAACAACAACAACAACAACAGTACCAACAACAACAACAGAACCAATTCGCACCGGTTCAAAGGAAACAATCACAAGCATTCGATCCACTTGATCCATTTGCAGTGACAACATCACAACCACTCTCACCAATTAGACAACCAAACCAACAACATCAGCAACAGCAACAAATGATAAGGAGTGCAGGCGCACCCATTGGAGCACTGTCCAACAATCCATTCGATCAGAAGGCATTGCAGATCAAGGCTGCCTTTGAGTCCTCGTCGGCGCCCTCCACCTCATCTTCTGGCTCAATGATGGCACTGAATCATAATGGCAGCAACATCAACTTGGGCATGATGAACAATCAGATGATGGTACCAATGAACAACAACAACAATATGATGATCAACAGCGGTGGATTGAACAATATGGGAGGAATGGGAATGAACAACAACATGAACAGTGGAGGCATGGTCATGCAACCAACGATGGGCATGGGTATGCAGCAGCAGCTCCAGCCTCAGCAAATGATGAACAACAATATGCAGTTGGTTCCTCTTGGCATGAATCAACAAATGAACAGGATGCAACCTCAGCCAATGATGAACAACAACATGAACAGTGGAGGCATGGTAATGCAACCAACGATGGGCATGCAACAACCCCAACAAATGATGAACAATGGATTCAATCCAAACATGCAGCAACAGAATCCATTCGCAATGGGCAACATGCAGCAACCCAACATGATGATGCAACAACAACCAATGGGTATGATGCCACAGCAGCAGCAGCAAATGAATATGAACATGAATATGCAGTACATGCAGCAACAGCAACAGCCTCAGCAACGCCAACAAGTTCAGAATATCTACTTCTAAGACCAGACTCCTTCCTCCTCCTCATCATCGTCATGTTACCATATATAAACAACAGTAGCAGGGCTCCATCCTGACAAGTGAATCATCTGATTGATGTTTGTTTAATCATGATTGTTGAAGTGGTTGGTAATCTAACGCCAAGTCCAGACCATGGTCAATGGCATCGTTTATTCACACGCACACTCTTGAAACATACAAAGAGAGAGAGGCTGGTCGACCGAGAAGAGACAAATGGTATGTATAATATATAATAAAGGAGGTATTATGTGCATAAGTAATTAAGATGTGAGGGGAGGGAGAGGAGGGAGAAGGAGAAGGTGGCAGTGTCTATGCTTGGGCGGATCACTCACTCCCAAGTGATCATAACAATGATGTCTTTCGATCGCTCGCTCGCTCTATATCTATCTATCTATCAATCTCCATCTCTTATAAGTTCTTATGCATTAGATGTTCGTTGTCATTTACAAAGGTAAAGTCCTCAAAGTTCTTCTGGAGGGAGCTGCTCAGCTTGGACGTGTGGTTCTCGGCGGACAGCTTGGCTGTCTCGGCCAAAAAGCCTGCATCCACCTGGCTCGTATCATTCTTTCCCTTGACTGGCGGGATGAATGGTGGCACCAGCTCCTTCCTAACGCACTTCTCCCAGTCGATACCTGCGAAGAACTTGTGTGACTTGATCACCTTTGCATCCTTCAGTCGTTTGTTTGGGTCTCTTTCGAGCAGCTATATATATCATGATGATTGAATGTAAGTATGTGGTGTATCAATGTTGTTGTTGTTATTCGTCATGTACATACTGCAGTTATAAAGTCTCTTGATTCCTGGGTAAACTGTGGAGTGAACACTAACTTCTGGGTCATAATATTATTGTACATGATGCGGATGTCTGAGGAGTAGAATGGCGGCAGACCAGAGAGCATCTCAAAGACTAGCGTGCCAAACGACCACCAGTCAATGGCCTTGCCATAGGCCTCTCCCTTGAGGATCTCTGGCGCCAGATACTCTGGCGTGCCGCAAAAGGTGGCGGTGCGGTCGTCGTCGCTCAGCAGACCCTCTTTGCTGATGCCATAGTCGGTGAGACAGATGTGTCCGTCGGCAGTGAGCAGAATGTTCTCTGGCTTGAGGTCGCGGTACATGACGCCGCAGTTGTGCAGGTACTCGAGGCCGCAGACGATCTCGGCGCAATAGAACCTGACGCGCGCCAGATCAAACTTCTCCTCGTTCTGCAGATGGAAGAAGAGTTCGCCACCGTTGATGTAGTCCATGATGAAGTATAGCTTGTCGTCAGTCTGGAAGGAGTAGTTGAGGTTGATGAGGAAGGGGTGCACCAGCTTCTGCAAGATGTTCTTCTCGGCACGTGTATGGTCCACTTCGTTGCGCTCGACGATGTTCTTCTTGTTGAGCACCTTCATCGCGTAGATCATGCCAGTGTCCTTCTTGCGCACTTGAAGCACCTTGCCAAAGCTGCCTTTACCAATGACATTGAGCAGGTCAAAGTCCTCGACTCCAACACGCTCCTTGGTGGGCTGGCCGGCAGAGGCGCTAGATTTCATCTTGGCCAGTGTCTTGTTGAGTATGTTTATCCAACTCTGCATCTCGTCTGGCGATGTGGCCTTCATGTAGTAGGTGCGATCGGGTGTCTCCACCTCGAACAGATTCTTCTTCTTTCTTTGACTCTGTACTACATTTGTTACGTTCTTCAAATGAATAGTTCCCAATTCACAACTGTTTGCATTCTTTGAGTAATATATCGATCCATTCTTTAGCACACACCATCTCTTTCTCCATGTCTTTATTGAGCCACCTTCCTTTGTTAAGAAGCCCTGTTTATCTGCCATTCTCTATATATATATATATCTCTATTTATAATAAATAAATATTATATCTATCTCTCTCTATTATCTTTTAATGTTTATGAAACTAACTAATTGATCAAACAACATTGTTGGATATTTCAAGATGAGGTTTAGGTTGGGACATGAACAAGATTGGAGGTGGATGGGTCACCAAAAAAAAGGGTGGATGTCAAAAAAACCACATTGACCATTTGGATTGAGGCCCTGGGACTTCAAAGAGTTCGTTTTTTTTGACTGACCAACTATCAGTGTTGTTGTGAACTTGTTTAGGACCAAGATCCACTAAAGGAGTATTTAGTAATGCTCAAGAGAGACTTCAAGTCATTAGATTTCTAGAGTTTATATATGTCCTATAAAATAATAATAATTACTACAAAGATAGATAGATAGATAGAATTAATGAATGACAATAACAACTCCAGAGATTACAATCAATAATCATAATCAAAATAATAATAACAATGTAAAACAACATAGACGAGTATATAGTAGAGCAAGACAGATGTTCTCTTTTCATGAGTTGGCCGGTACAGATATGACATTGTTGCTTGACGAGTCGATAATGATTAGAGTGTTTCAGATGTTGGAGTTGCACTATCTTTTCGTGGCGAAACGTGTGTGTTCCAGATGGAAACCAATCTGTGAGAACACGTCTTGCTACAGCGATCTGGACATGCAGGCATTCATCCACAACAGTCGATATCTTCCACATCATGTACTACAAGCATTCATACTTGGTCTATCAATGGATGTCGATGAAATCGATGCTCTCAAGATGGTGTGTCGCGAGATCCCCAGGCTCCCTCAATCACTGGCAACTCCTTGGGTCAATGGAGGAGATGATAGTATCAGTAGTAGCAGTGTATATAATAGTAGTAGTAATAATAGTAGTCCACCAAGTGCTGGTGGAAGGCCAGTCAGTGCACATATACGTGTACCTTCATATGGTGGCGCTGAGGATACCGAGAGCACATTATCACTTTCAACTTCATCATTGTCATCATCATACGATTCACCTCCAATGCTTGGATCTTCAAACTCATCTACACCGACCCTCTCGAGTAAGGAGGCACTCAAACGACAGAAACTGAGGAAGGAACGTGAGAGACGAATGGAGGATGCAATGAAAGTATGGTCAGATGATATCATTCCAAACTGGACATCAAAGAGCAAGTCACTCAAGAAAGTGCGTGAGATGATCTATCAAGGTATCCCCTCAGTATCACGTGAGAAAGCATGGCCACTATTGATTGGAAATGATCTGAACATCACTCCTGGTATGTATTATCCGTCATAAACCTCATGGCCCGACAACAACTGACACCTCATTACTTGCTTACTTTTAGAACTGTATTCTATATTCAGACTAAGAGCAGAGAGAGCCAAGCATAAGGGCGACCTGTCGTTGGGAAGGGAGGGCACCGTGACACTCATACATTTGGACTTGCCAAGAACATTTCCAAAGTTGTCAATTTTCCAGGATGAAGGTCCATACCATGAGAAGTTGGCTGCAGTCCTAGAGGCATATGTATGTTATAGACCTGATGTTGGATATGTCCAAGGAATGTCCTATATTGCCGCCATCTTCCTACTCATCCTCGATGACTATGAAGCATTCGTCTGTCTATCTAACCTGCTCAACAATCCATGTTTCATGTCCTTCTACACAATGAACTTGGAACAAGTATGTGTCAGTCCACTCTTGATCATGTTGCTCTTGGTCTCAGTTGTCACTAACCAACACCATCCATCCATTCCGATCATCCAACAAACAGATGGAAGTATATATGCGAGCAATGGATAGTTTGATCGCGACGAATCTACCCAAGATCCATAGACATATGCGTGAGCTGGGCATACAGCCAGATGTGTTTATGATTGATTGGGTGCTGACTATATTCTCAAAGGCACTGCCATTGGATGTGGCTACACACGTGTGGGACTACCTGTTCCTGGAGAAGGAGATATTCATCTTCCAAGTGGCGCTGGGTATACTTAAGATGTATTCCCGCGAGTTGGAAACAGGTGACTTTGATCTATGCATGACACTGCTAACTCATCTACCATCAGACATTGATGATGATGAACTATTCCAGCACATATCCTCATTCAACATAACTCAAAAGCAGTTTGCCAAGTTGGTTGGTACAGATAAATCATAATAACCATGGTTGGAATTATTATTGTTGTTGTTTGTTTTTATTGATGATTGTTTATGTTGTTGTTGGGACAGGACGGACTGGACGGGACTATGGACAGATGGGTAATAGAGCATTGAAGTGGCATGCTTTGTGTGTGTGATTGTTTTGTTGTGATCCAGATCAATCAAACTCTACATCGTGCAGATGATCATGATGGTTGGACGTGGACGAGGATGGGGTATCCTCCACTGGCATATACTTGCTCTTCTTTGAGTAGTGCTTTGGAGCGAATGGAATGGTCCTCTTCTTTCTGTTGATCAGCAGGATGCTGTGGATGGCATTGAGCACTGGAACCAGTGCCAGGAATACGTAGAACACTTCTCCCTCGTGCACTCTCCAGAAGGGCACACCGACGATCCACAAAAAGAATGCCACCAGGAGCAAGATCATTGTGGCAAAGAAGTTCTGTGTGACTATCACCTCGGGCAGATAGGCTGGACTGACAAGAAGACCCTTCTCGTGTTGTGCTGTCCTGGTACGGTCCGATGCCAGTCTGTTGTTGTCTCTGAACACGCGATAGATGGCTCGCACCAGACTGAGGAAGTTGTAGCAGGCAATGCCAACAAGGAAGCGCCACATCAGTGAAATGGTGTTCATTGACTTGTCAGAGAGGCCCGTTGGGTGATGCAGGGACAGAGCCTCTATTGGCAAACGACAGAACTTGGTGGTGAAGCGCACCGCCAGACAAGCGGCACCGACCACCAACTCACGGATTGGTGCAAAAGTGGCCAGCTCCTGGTTGATTCCAGTGACGCGGGTTACACATCGAAGTGTGTCGTTGGGTGAGACAGGTGCTGGGGTTCTCTGGAGGAATGAGTCCTCGGTCATGTAGACAATGACCGAGCCCAAGAAGGCTGCGCTGGCCACTGGTATGATGACGATGGTGAAGAAGGCATACAATCCTTGAACAAGTGCGCTCGATCCGAGGATGATGTCGCGCTCCTCCAATCGCACAGATATCAACCAGATGATGAACAATATCAGGCCAGAGAGTACGGCCGAGCCAAACAAACGCATGTTGCGCATTTCATCGCCGGGGAGCATGGCATCCAAGATGGGTTGGGAGCTGTAGCGGCCACACAAGTGGTTTGAGGTGCCGACGATGGCGAAGCGAGCCCAGTTCTCCTTGAACGATGTGTGATTGTGTTGTGTGATGGGCAGGTCGAATGTAGCGTCAAACATGGGTGGCACCACTTGGTCCTTCTCCACGTTGTTTGCTCGTGGACTGATGTCCACCTGGTGTAGATGGGGCAGAGGACACAGTACGATGGTGGCCAAGATGAAGAGTGCCAACAAGAGACTGACAATGATGCTGATCCACTGCTGTCGAATGCGATTGGGGATGCCAGCGTGTAGGAACGCATAGCATTTGTCGGCTAGACTTGGTTGACGTCGGATGCTTCGCGACAATTGCTCCAGCATGTCGTTTGTGTAGTGCTCAGCCTGATCGGCATATTGCAGTGTGGACACCTTTCGATTCGCAGGGTCCATATATGCCAGATCATCATCGTTCTTTGCATGACCGCGACCACGTCGGTAAAACACTTCCTCGTATGGTGGCATTGAATGAGTGTCCGCATCATCCTCCTCGCTGTCCTCGAAATAGTCATCGTCGTCAGCGACTACTTCTTCGTTCATCTCTTGTGCTTCCTCCTCTTCCTCCTCTTCCTCCTCCAAAGGTTGCTCGACCGCTTTTCTGGACTGTCTCTTGGCGGCTGGTTTCTTGGCCGATGGTGCAGAGGCGGCTGGTTTCTTGGGTGGTCTGCCACGTCTCCTTGGTTGTGGAGCTTCTTCTTCCTCCTCCTCCTCCACCACTTCGTCCTCTTGCTCATCGACATCCTCGATCAAAGGGGCGACATCCTGCTTGTTGTTGGCATTTCTTCTGCTGTTCCAAGATGTACTCCTGGTGATTGAGCTAACAGATGTGCTGGTGGAACTTGTAACATCACTGTCTTCGTCACCAGCAACTCTACTACTTGAATTCTTTGCTCTAGCCATTCACTGTATTGTTGTTGTTGTTGTTGTCCAAATACCTCTGATGATCAGTATTTCAAACTGGTAATTTCTAAAAGATTGGAATTATGATGTCCAATGATTGATTTCAAAGACAACGATAATGATAATAATTTGAAATAATGATGATGGTTATGTTATTATTAAGAAATGAATGATGATTGTTGAGTGTTATAGAGATAAAGAGAGATGGTTAATGTGTGATTGAGTGAGCCGTGTTTGAATGATAGTGTGAACATGAAGGGGTGCGAACCTTTAAATTTGAAATTATATTAAAGCTGTTAAATAACGGATTTTACCCCACCCACTCAAACAATCATACACCTCACTGCTGTCGCACAAAACGCGCGCAAAATAAAACAACACACAAAAGAAAATAAATAAATAAATGAAAAAAAATGTGCCAAAACAACAAGAGACCATGCACGCAGGTATCAATCACTGCACCCACCCCACGAATTCATTTCATTTGAATTTAATAATATTTGTAACTACACATATTTTTTGCACAGAGAACAACTAATCCAACTACACAATGTTCATATTACTCTCAACTTACATTCTAAGAATAATTTTGCTACATCTTGACACTATTGATGTTTTATGTTTTCTCTTAGTAAGCAGAAGCATCTTCTCACTTCAAAAACTCATCGCACCGTCACTGAAGCACCACTTTGGAGCTATACCATCATCATCACAACAACCGACACCGAAGAAAGAAAGCCTATATACATACCTGTCTACATATTCTAAAGAGCTCTCAAAACAAAACCCTTGGAGTTTTCATGAGCTTCCTCAARCCGGTGAAGATTTACCACAATTATCACTGCCCTATTTCAACAAACCTCTTCAAGTTGGACAAATACCTATGTCAGTGACACAACTGTCACTTGGTCAATTCGATCAACCTCTTCTGGTTGGGCATATACCTCAGTCAGTGACTCAGTTATCAATGAGATGTTTCAATCGACCACTTCAAGTTGGACACATACCACAATCAGTGACTCAGTTATCAATGAGATGTTTCGATCGACCACTTCAAGTTGGACACATACCACAATCAGTGACTCAGTTATCAATGAGATGTTTCGATCGACCACTTCAAGTTGGACACATACCACAATCAGTGGTACAACTGTCACTTGATCATTTCAAACAGCCACTTCAAGTTGGACACATACCACAATCAGTGGTACAACTGTCACTTGATCRTTTCGACCAGCCACTTCAAGTTGGACACATACCACAATCAGTGACACAATTGTCGATTGATGGTGTATTCGACCAGCCACTCCAACCTGGACACATACCACAATCAGTGACACATTTGTCAATGCACTTATTCCACCATCCACTCCAACCTGGACACATACCACAATCAGTGACACATTTGTCAATGAATAATTTCAACCAGCCACTCAAAGTTGGACACATACCACAATCAGTAACACAATTATCAATGGACAGATTCAACCAACCACTCCAAGTTGGACACATACCACAATCAGTGACACAACTGTCACTTTGTGAATTCGATCAACCACTTCAAGTCGGACATTTTCCACCGTCAGTGATACATCTGGAATTGATACTTTTCAATCATCCTCTCCAAGTTGGACACATGCCACAATATGTTTCAAGTTTAACTTTTGGCAGAGAGTTCAATCAACTTCTCAAAACAGAGTACATTCCATCAGTTAGATCACTGTCTATTCAATGCCCGCAATTTTCTCCCGAGAATATCAGTTTGCTTGGACACAGCTATCTCAATGAGCTTAGTATTGTCCACGTAGCTACAAAAAGCAATTGTAAATCTGTTGAGCCATCCTCACTTTTACACCAGGAGACAATTTCACATTTTTCAAAGATGAATACTCTTTCGCACTTAATCGTCAAGATCAAGCCGAGAAAGACGACGCTCAAAGGAATAGATGGTGGGATGCCATTCTCTATTTTGTATTCATTGCTCAAGTTTATTCCAACAATCACTCTACAATTCTGCTTTCGGTCTAGTGATGCCTTTGACTTTGAAATCATTTGGAGACTGATTGACGACAAAACAGCACTACTAGTCCCTATATCGGATGCGGATGATAATGGAATTGTACTATTTTGGAAGTTTGCAACAAAACCAATACGCAATCCTTGGTCTCAGGCCGCCACATTTAAGACTTCAACTGTGTCACAAGCCGAGCCCAACCCCTTGCGTACTCTTACTCTCCCGAACGATGATGTGGCTCAACTCAGAGAGTTCCTGAAGGGGAAAACGATAATTCAGATGTCCAGGCTTACAAAGGACAAGCTAAGCCAATATCTAACAATATTTGGTATACCAACAACCTCAGATACACAATTGACTAATCTAAAGTTGGCAAAAGTACTATCCAAGGTATTAAGTGATCATAAAAATTAACAAATCCATGACCAATAATAAATACTGGTAGTTGGCGAGATGTGCAAGCTCTTTCGGAGCCGTCAAACTACGTTTCCAACAAACGGGTGGCAAGTTTGACAACGTCACGGATTATAGATTATATACCCAGGAGCAATTTAGTATATTCTATCGAATCGCAAACTCGAGAGGACATATTACAGTACCTGGCAATAGCAAGATAGATGGGAACAATGGCGAGCAAGAGGACTACTCAGATGGAGACGTCGCAAGTGACAACAACGACGAGGACGATGCAAAGGAGGAGGACGCAAGTGACATCGACCAACTCAAAGGTCAATGAATGGAATCGTATCTCATTGGGATTATATTTGACCAGACATATTGCATGTCTCGATTGGGTATCCGGTTCCAGTCTTGGGACATTCGGTGTGTCGTTGAGACCTACTTGATTCTAAGGTGTCCATTGATCATGTATTATGTAGAGATAAAAGAAACATGTTTATATTAATAACTTGTTGTAATGTACTACATTGTAATGAAAAAAAACTCTTTCAAAATAAAAACAAACCCGATATTTATTTGTTTTGATTATTTTTTTATTCAACTTCCCCCCACTCAAACAATCAAAAAGTTGAGGTGAATGTCCACAACCAATTTAATCAATAAGCTTAGTATCTGTATATATATATCACATAAATATAACTTTATCAACATCATCATCATCATCTGTTTGATACACAAACAAACAGAACACATATTAAAGAAAGAGATAAAACAATACACAGAATATGGCCGATCCTGCATTGATGATCTCTGTCGCAAGCTTGACACCATCTGATCGTGAGGGATTCCTCACCAAACAAGGTGGTGCCATCAAGACTTGGAAGCGACGTTGGTTCGTTCTCAAGGGCAAGAAGTTGTACTACTTTAAGAACAAGACTGTATGTGTTATGTTATGTCTCTCGACCATTGACTTGATCAATCATTCGGCGCGATGTGACTCACACTCACTCTCAACTCATTAATACAGGATCTAGAAGCAACTGGTATGATTGAGTTTGAACCAGACTCATTCGTAAAGGATGAAAGAGACAAGGATAAGAAGAAGAAGTTCATGTTCTCGTTGGGCACATCAAAGAGAATCTTCTTGATCTACGCAGAGTCAGAGACAGACATGAAGCAGTGGATCGAAGCGATCAGACGTAATATGGGCGATAGCTCCACTGCCACCTCATCAAGCAGCGCCATCACCACCTCGCCACGCATGCAAAACACACCTGTAGAGTCTGGCCAACGTGCTCAGGCACAAGATAAGGCACCCAACCCAACATCTCCACGTTCAAAGATTGCCACTGCAAAGGCTACTATCCCATTCTTGAGAGATGTATGTGTGCTTGTATATCATATCAATCAAGCTCAACATGTCATATTAACAACAACAACAACAACAACAACAAATAGGATGATTCAAACAAGGTATTGGAGTTCTGGCAGATTTGGTCCGAGTCTATCCCACCTCAGGTGGACTTGCAGGGAGGTAACTCAATCGAGTTCCATGTGGCAACCTCGATTGACATGCAGAAGCTGACGTGGAGGACTGCTGGTCCACAGAGTATATTCATCCAAAAGATGGTGGACTTTTTCTGGAACGTCGGTGCACCAGAGACAGAGATCGACAGGCTCAACGACGTCGGCGCGCTCATCAACCCCGTCAAGATCGGTTCATGGATCGACATGTCTGACAAGGGTGGTATGGACGGTGGTTGGTACTTCCCAGTTGACATTCCTCTCAAGTTAGCTATTGAGTCTGCAGATGTTGGTGAACCAACCAAAGTAGTATGTATTTGTTATCATTCAATCACTCATTCAACTCACTCACATCAATCAATCAATTTTTAGTTGTCAACATGGGCAGAGGCGAATGATGTTGCCAGTTGCTATAGTGTAGGAAGGGATATGGGAGCAGCACCACCTAGACAGACAGAGATTCGTCTTAAGCTACCTGGAACAGACTTTATCGACCAACTTAACTTGGCAGTTGGAGCATTCCAGACATTCCAATTCCCAGCCATTCCAGAACCAGCATTGGAGCTACTACGCTCAAGCGCCTCAGAGATCAGCGGCGGACTCTGTCTGAGTGTGATCACCTCGAGCGAGGGATTCGTTCGTCTTGGTCTGCTAATCCCCAAGCCATCGCGAGAGCTCACCAACAAGATTTGCGAGTACGGTTCAGCGCCCAAGGACAAGCTGACCAAGTTTGAGCAGCAATTGGGCGTTGCCACACCAGCCTTTGTCGAGTACCAATATCTCCAGAAGGGTTTCGGATATACTGTATACAAAGAGGGTATGTTGTCTTCAGCACACATAGACAATGATTGATCACTAACTCAAGCACATAATATTGAAGGTTTCGACATTGTGCTCCATTACTATGTGGGCGACGATCAATCAGATTAATCAGCTGTCTGCGTAATTTAGCGATCTGGCCACAATGAATGAATGACAGAAATGACCATGGTCATCCATCCAAGATGTAGGAGGAGCTCCTCCTTCCTCGGCAAAAACACAAACCAACTATTATTATTATTTCCAACACCAACAATTAAATGAATGTATTAGCTGTATCAATATCACTCACTAACTCACTCGCCTTATATGAACGATTGTCCTTATATCTAGAGTCTTGGATGATCACGACTACAAGTAGAGACACTCTACATTGATGGAATGCCCCCTAGAAGGTGTTAGTTCCACTGCCCTACCTTTTTATGACCCTGGGGACCACCATTGGCCTTATGACAACATCAAAAACATCATTTTCAAATAATGGGACAACCTTCGAAAACGACTATGTCAACATAAATATATATGTGTGTCGACCCGTTTCAAACATATTGTTGTTGTCACGTGATTACCAACAACAACAACAATATTGTTTGTTTCAAACAGCACCTAATTCACCATTCTCACTTCACTCATCACACATACATACACACACATAGATTGACAAGTAACTTGTCAACAACCACCATCTGACAAGCTTGATCCTTTCACTCCACTCACTCACTCACCCATCCAGTCAAGTGACATCCATCACCCACTCACCCCTAACCAATCAATCGATCAATCAATCAATTAATTAATCAACTTCAACATCATTCATATTCTTACTTATACATTAAATTGTTATAATCATTCATTAATCCATTAATCTCTTTAATAATAATAATAACAATATATATTATATATAAAATTACCAATCAATGATGCAGTCGACTTTTAAAACATCGGTTCAGCTGATGTTTACATTGTTGGTTCTGTCATGTGTTTTGGCACAGGATCCACCTGTTGACCCACCAGCACCAGTGGACATTAGTACACTCTACACCATTAGCCAGCCTAAATGCTCATTCTCAATGGGCGAGTTGATACCAAACGCCACCTATCCAACAACCATCTTCAAAAACTCAAATGGTGACCTGTTAACTGCACCATACTACTTTGAGGCTGGTGTCTACACCATCCAAGCCAATGTCACCGCCACCGATTTTAATACTACAACAATACTCATAAACTATGGTCCATGTATGTCTAATCTCATCAATCAATAATATCAATCAGTAATATAATTGAAGTGAATCACTAACCAATCCAATCCAATCAATCAATCAGATATGAAATCATCACCAGTGTATACTGTTGTCCAACCAGTGTGTGGCAATAGCACTGGATCAGTGACATTGACAACCCCGAGCGGATTGACCTACATCAATGTATCTCTAAAGAATACATCCAACATCGACCAGACATTGTCAGATGACAAGGTGACATTCGCCAATCTTCCAAGTGGAAAATATACACTCTCATTGAACAGCACTGATTGTGGAGTTCAGATGATCAGATTGGAGTTGGTGTCATCATCGCCCAGATTGACACTTACTCTCAACGCCTCGCCCTGTGTGCGCCAGTCAACCGTTGCCGTATCTCTGCCCGCCGGTTTCACCGACGCTGCACCCGAGTTCAAGGCCAATGGACAGCCAGTGGTCAATGGCAGCTTCGCACTGGACGGCTCCCCTTCGGTCCTCGTCACCTACACCGGCAATGGATGTAAGTCATCAGAGACCTTCTCGCAGGGCTTGTTGGTGCCAGTGTACGCCATCGATGTGCATCAGACCAACGTCAAGACGACGGTCATCAACAACATCAACAACGTGACGACAGTATGCACTCAACAGTATGCCAACATCTCTTTGCACTACGACAGCACAGTGTTTAGCGATTTGGTCGTGCTCAACTCTTCAAACCTCAACGTCGAAATCACCTACAACTCATTCATTGCTCCATATGGCTCGACATTCACGTTGACCTCTGCCAAGTGCTCGATGGACACCACCAAGAACATCCTGCGCCAGTTCACAGTGACCCCACCCGCACCAGTGATCACAGTTGCACCACCTCCCCAGGTCAGCGTCTCCCTCCCACCCACCGGATGTCTTCGCTCAGCAGTTGTATCTGTTGTCAACTTCCTCGACTACTCATCGATCAATCTGAACGTAGGCCTTTCAAATGGCACCATGATCAGGATAGACCACAAGAATGGCATCTTCTCAAATGTGCCCGCTGCCTCCAACATCACGTTGGAGTACATCTATGGTGAGACTGGACAGTGCGACGACCCGTACCGTGTGGCCCCACTCAGACTCCCAGTTCAACTGGTGGACATCACAGCCAACAAGCTTTCATCAAAGGTTGAGGAGACCCTGATTGCCAATGCCACCCAGTGCTCATTGGGTACCGTCAGCTTCAACCTCGTTAAACTGTCGCCAGAGTTGTTTGCCTCCAACTTCACATACAACTTTGTGGCTGGACAGAATGTGCTGCTCAACTTCACCACGATCTATGGATGCGTGGCACAGTACAATTGGACAGCACCAATCGCCGTCCAGTACGATGTCCCCTTGCCAGTGGTCACCAAGAACAACACTTGCAAGTACTCGATGGACTCTGTGCTCGAGATCCAAGGCAACTTCTCCAACATTGCCAACATCTCTATTGATGGCGCCATCATGCCACTCAATAAGTTGTACTCTGGTCTGACCGTTGGCGCACACAACATCTCGTTCGGTCTTGTCTGTCCCTCGACCACCTACTACCTCACGACATTTAGCATCTTTAGTGACAGTGACTTTGTCCTAAGCTACACCGTCTCGAAGAAGGATGATTCCTGTAACTCGACCGATACACAGGCCAAGATTACAATCAATCCAAAGCCTACCTTTGACGTACTACTTGATGGCACCGTAGCCTACAACGACACTGAGGGTGGATGGATTGTCAATGCCGCTCCTCACAACCTGACTTTCACCAACGCACAGTGCAATGGTTCACTCCAAATCAAAGAATCAGAACTGATCGTCGAGACCATCACAATTGACGCCAAGGTGATCAACCCGAATGAGACTTGCAGTGGCTCAAAGGATGGTTCAGTGACGTTCAAGGCATCGAATGACGTCGCCATCAAGACAATTGTTGTCAATGGTGTAGACACCTATACCGATATAAGCACTATCAACACACTCCCCGCTGGAAAGCACACCTTCCTGATCAGCCTCAATGACAGCAACTGTCAGTTCACCAAGGTGATCACCATCGGATCCTACACCGATGTGCCATTCACATTCGCCACAACGTCTCCCTCGGGATGTGGTGTGAACACCGATGGAGTTGTTATTGTGTCGGCCACCAACCCAGACTTGATCAAGGACTTCAAGGTCACATCCGATGTTGGCACAGTGCTCAACCAAACCATCTACAAGTTGGCGGGCAACACCAACTTCACCGTATTCATTGGCTACAAGGATGTGTGCAAATACAACCGCACACTCAGTCTGACATTGAGCAATGATTCTATTCCAACACCAACCTTCACACTCAATGCCGCCGACTGTGGATTCACCAATGGAAAGTTCCAGCTCAACAACACCAAGGACTACACCAATGTCTACCTCACCAATCTGGACCGCTCTTCGATCGTAGCCGTCGGCACTGATGGACAGTTCACCGGTCTGTCGTTCAACACCACCTACTACTTGACGGCCACACACGTGTCCACAGGATGTCAGTTCAACAATATGTCCGTGACCACACCAGACTTTGTCGTCCAACTGGCCAACAACATAATCACACCTACCAATGAGTTGTGTCAGGCTGGATACACTGGTAGATTGAACATCAGCAGCAACTCAACAGACAGCAGCAGTGTCAAATCATTCTATCGTCTGTTCAAGGACTCTGATCAGATGGTGGTGGTGGACACATCTTTGGACGGATTGTTTGACGATATGGTCAGCGGATCATACGTCTACCAACAGACATTGATTGCCAACCCATTCTGCACCACCAAGGCGTCAAGCATCATCGATGTCAGCTTTGATAACAATCCATTGGTGGATGTAGATGCCTTTGGAACCTGCTCCAACGACTCTGGTTCTGGATCAGTGTCTGCCACAGTTGGAGGACTACCCACTGGCAACTATGCCACCATCGTGCTCAATGGAACATTGTTGGAGAGAAGTCTAAACACCACCAACGGCACAGCCACTCTCCTTTCTGTCCCACCAGCAGACTATATCTTGAGGACATGGGTCAACATACCAACATGTCGTAGATACTTTGAGACACCAGTCACTGTGGAGAACACAATGGGTGACCTCCAACTATTTGTCAACAAGACAACATGTGACTCTATCATCGTTAGCTCAATCGGTGGTGGATTACTCTCGGACAACACGACAGTGTACAACTTCACACTGACCGACACCACCAACAAGACAGCGCTGCCAGTTACCTTTGGCACTTCGACAGGCGAGTCCAAGACCTTCCCACTGGTTAGACGCCACAACTACACGTTGACAGTGACATCCAACGGCAGATGTTCAATCACCTACTACAACGTCTCATCGACACCATGTGTGGACCCAACTCATCCACCAGTGCCACCCAGAGATACTGGTCTGAGCACGGGCCAATTGGCCGGCATCATTGTCGGAGTAACACTTGGAGTGTCAGTGATAGGTATCATTGCCTACATTGTGATCAGTAAGAAGATGAGCGTTCAGTATCACCATCCCGTCGAGATGGATTCCCCACAATATAAACTTATGATGGATGAGCAACAATCATAATAATAATATTAACATTGAATATAAATAAATAAACAACATTGAATCACACATTAATTGATGAATGTTCAAATACAATCTATTCCCGACTATTAAATTGGCTACAATTTTTTGTTATTATTACTTAGAGCTTTGGACAGGGCTTTTGCCATGTTGAGATTCGTCATAGGAGTATTATTTGTTGATACGCCCATGACCGAAAGATATTGACGCAGTTTATCCTTTGTAAACCTGGACATCTGAACTATGGTTTTCTGTTCCAAAAACTCTCTGAGTCTGAGTTGATCTGGAGTTGAACTATTGTTGGAATCATTTGGTAAAGTTGGAAAATTCCAAAATGAAACGATTCCATCGCCATCTGCCTTGGTTACCGATACAAATAGTGCTGTCCTGCCATCCAGATGTCTCCAAATAGTCTCAAAATCAATGTCAAAGGAGCCGTTAAAGAATTGCAGAGTTATTGTTGGGATTGACTTGAGCAAGCGCAGAAGAGAGTGTGGAGCGCCATCGCTGATTTTCTTTGGCATGTGAGCTGACTCTGTCTTGATCTGGACAATGAGATGTGAAAGGTTCCTCATCAAAAGAGAATCACAATTGAAATCCAAAAATGATGAAGAGCCCTGACCTTGTAGTTCATGGACAATTGTGATCGTGTCGAGACGGCTGTGGCAATGAAGGCCAAAGTTCTCAGGAGAGAATTGAGAGTTTTGGATCGATAGTGATGTGGCTGATGGAATGTGCTCAATTGAGAGATATTGATTAAAGAGACGACCAAAACTTAAACGCATTGCAGAATGAGAGTGTATATTCCCAACATGGAGCAATTGATTGAAGCATTCCAACGATAAATCTACCACAGATGGCGAGATGTGTCCATCTTGAAGTGGTTGATTGAATCTTTCCAACGATAACTGTGTCACAGACTGTGGTATATGTCCATCTTGAAGTGGCTGATCGAAATTGTCCATTGTCAGTTGTGCTACCGACAATGGTATGTGTCCAGCTTGAAGTGGTTGGTTGTAACATACTAATGATAGTTGTTTCACAGAATGTGGTAAATATCCATCTTGAAGTGGCTGATCGAAATTTTCCAGTGTCAGTTGTGTTACCGACGTTGGTATGTGTCCAGCTTGAAGTGGTTGGTCAAAATGCCACAAAGAGAGGTGCGTGACAGACTGTGGTATGTGCCCAGTATGAAGTGGCTGGTCGAAATCCACCAATGTCAGTTGTATCACTGACATCGGTATGTGACCAGCTTGAAGTGGTTGATTGAAACGCCCCAAGTAGAGGTGCGTGACAGACTGTGGTATGTGACCAGCATGAAGTGGTTGGTCGAATTCCACCAATTTCAGTTGTGTTACCGACATTGGTATGTGTCCAGCTTGAAGTAGTTGATTGAAATGCCCCAAATAGAGGTGCTTGACAGACTGTGGTATGTGCCCAGCATGAAGAGGTTGGTTGAAATGCCCCAAGTAGAGGTTCGTGACAGACTGTGGTATGTGCTCAGTTTGAAGTAGCTGATCGAAATTGTCCAGTTTCAGTTGCGTTACCGACATTGGTATGTGTCCAGCTTGAAGTGGTTGTCTGTAATATCTCAATGATAGATGTGTCACTGTCGTTGGTATGTGTCCAGCTTGAAGTTGCTTCATATATTCCGACGATAATTGTGTCACAGACGGGGGTATGCCACCTTGAAGAAGATGAGAGGGGTGAGGGTTGACCCGCACTTGCAAGGATGTAATTGTCGAGGGAATTGAGGCGGGGATTCGAACAGGACCAGACGAAGGTAAAGAGGGGTAATCTATTGTTAAGTGTGTCTCCAAAGGCGGACGATCTGAGAGGTAACCATGGTTCGTCAAGTGTTTGAATGATCTCAAGCTACTGTTTAAAGTTGTGGTGTAGCTGTGCTTCAGCGACGATGGGGCTATACTTTGCTGTTGAGAGAATATGTTTCTGCTTACGAAGAGAAAACATGGGACATCAATGCTACTAAGATATGAAAGTACAATTCTTAATATGTACCCAGGTAAAACAGTGACAGTGGCCATGCTTTCCCTTTCCACCTCTCTTTGTTGTGTGTTTTCTGTTTGTGTTGTAAGCGGGTTATGGAATGGTGAATAATAATGAATCAAAAGGAAATGAAAGGATTTGATTCGTTTTTATTTACTGTGTTGCTCTTAGACGACAACGATAGAAATAACATGTTGACTACTAAGTTGGTCTCTCTTCTGAATGTCAATGGCACCCTTGTTAGGACATCATCAAGTAGTCATGGCGTCTATCGATCATTATGTGCTATCAAGCTACAACATATCAACAACAACAGATCATTCACGTCAACAACACAACAACAACACAGCAGTCAACAATCACTGTTCAATGCCATGATGCCAAACTCATCTGCACCGAATCTCTGGTTCAAATCACCTCTGCACAATAGATTAGACAAGACAGAGTATGATGTGGTTGTGATTGGTGGCGGACACGCTGGAACAGAGGCCTCGGCCGCCGCTGCCAGAGTGGGCGCTTCAACATTGCTCGTCACTCAATCAATCAACACAATTGGTGTTATGTCTTGCAATCCATCGATTGGTGGCATTGGCAAGGGTAACCTGGTGCGCGAGATCGATGCCTTGGGTGGTGTCATGGGTGTTGCTGCTGATGAGGCTGGCTGTCAATTCAAGGTTCTAAATCAATCAAAGGGCGCAGCGGTACATGGTCCACGAGCACAGATTGATCGCGACCTCTATCAAGAGTCAATACACAATCTGCTTTCCAACATGCAGAACCTTTCAATGCGCGAAGCAATGGTCGAAGATCTACAGTTGGACGACAACAACAAGGTGTGCGGTGTTGTGCTACATGATGGCACCATAATCAAGACAAGCAAAGTAGTTATTACCACTGGCACATTCTTGGGCGGTGTCATTCACGTCGGCGCAAAAACAGCCCTGGCTGGACGTGTTGGCGACAAGGCTGCCACTCAACTCTCAAAGACACTTGGACGATTTGGATTCGCACTGGGTCGTCTAAAGACTGGCACACCACCACGACTAGATGGCAAGACAATCAACTACAATGGCATGGAGATACAGAATGGTGACGCATTCCCAACGCCATTCTCTTTCATGAATGACACTGTCAAACATGCCAACAAACAACTGCAATGCTTCATGACAAGGACATCGGAACAATCACACAAGATCATCATTGAGAATCTCGAGTCACGTCCCTCCCTCGACAGTGGCGGGGGCAAGGGTCTCGGTCCACGATACTGCCCCTCAATAGAGACAAAGATCGAGCGATTCGAGGGCAGAACACATCAAGTCTGGCTGGAACCAGAGGGCTACAACACAGACGTTATATACCCCAATGGAATCAGTGTGTCTCTGCCAGAGGATGTTCAGATCAGGTTCCTGCGATCAATACCAGGATTGGGGAATGTCACAATGTTGCGACCAGGCTACGCCGTTGAATACGACTATGTGGATCCTCGCGAACTACGTCCATCACTCGAGACCAAGAAGGTGGGCGGTCTCTACTTTGCAGGACAGATCAATGGCACCACTGGATACGAAGAGGCTGGAGCACAGGGCATAGTGGCAGGAATCAATGCAGCACTGGCATGCGATAGTTCAAGAAGTCCAATGATCATCGATAGATCAGAGGGCTATATTGGAGTACTAATTGATGATCTAGTGACACTTGGAGTGACTGAACCATATCGAATGTTCACGTCCAGATCAGAGTATCGACTGTCACTGCGGGCACACAACTCTGACATACGATTGACACGCAAGGGATACCAACACTCTAGTGTTACACAAGCAAGAATGGATAGATTGATTGAGAAAGAGAGGATTATCACAGACACAACCAACTACCTAAAGGATACTAAATATAGCGCTGATGGTACGTATAACATCATGTTCACTTTCCACATCATGCCACTGACCGATCGATTGTATGACATCAAATAGAATATATGCAAGCATGTGGAGTGGAGAACATTGGTACAAGCAAGAGGTCATTGTACGAGATATTGAAGAGACCTCATACGAATATAGAGATGTTGAAGCCATTGATCAAATCAGAGGTACATGATGCTATTCCTCCACTGATAATACCAATTATAGAGGCAGAGTGTAACTACTCTGACTATTTAGTTAGACAACAAGCAGAGATTGAGAAGTTCCAAAAGGAGGAATCAAGGACCATTCCAGAGGGCATCGACTATTGGGACATTGGTCAGCTGTCGACTGAGATAAAACAGAAGCTGACAGAGGCACGACCAGCCACATTAGGTTCAGCCAGTCGTGTTCCAGGTGTAACACCAACTGGAATAATAGCTATTCTTGGTTATATCAAGAAGAACTATCGCGAGCTAACTAAATAAATAATTTAATAAATATCTCTTTCCTTTTTTGTAAGTTGGGGTGATGTTCATCACCATCATCGGACCCCTTCATGAAGTGGAGTGTTTGGTCCTAAGATCACTTATTTAATTAATTTCCATATCCCTACAAGTAGTATATATCAAAGATATGAAGGTACAGATAACTGCACTTATATATGCAGCTGTGATGGCATGTGCCAGCATCGCTGGAACTGCTCTCTTCTTATTCCTCTCTCCATTGTTGTTCCTCATAGGTTTGAAGAGAACTAAACAGTTCGCTGCACCAAAGAGTATTGTAATGTAAGTGTATTCATGTAACAAATCATAGTCCAAGCATAACTAATAAGGAATACCTTAGTACTGGAGCATCAAGTGGTATTGGAAGAGAGTTGGCAATAGCATATGCTGCCAAGGGTGTCAACTTGTACTTGACCGGTCGTGATCAAGGACGTTTGAGTGAGGTAGCTCAACTGTGCAAGAAGAAGGGTGCCACTGTGTCAGAGTCCACCATCGACTCGACCAACACTGATGCAATGTCCAAGTGGCTGTTGAAGATTGACAAGAGCACACCTGTCGATCTGGTCATTGCCAATGCTGGTATCAATGAGTTCCAGTGTTACGAGAGCACCTACGAAGACAGAATACGTCAGGTGGCCAATGTCAATATCAATGGTGTTCTCAATACTGTACTCCCTCTTCTGCCAGCATTCAGAGAGAGAAGGAATGTATGTAGAGTGTAGTGTACTTATCATATGAATGAGAGTTTAACCTTCTCTATCTTTAGGGACAAATTGCATTTGTTGGAAGTATGGCCTTCTATATGCCTCTATTGATGCCTGGCTACATTGGATCAAAGTACTATATTCATGGCTTGGCAATCTCTTTGAGACAGGAGTTGGCCGAGTATGGAATTGGTGTCACACTGTTGATTCCTGGCTGTGTCAAGACTAGAATGGTAGAGTATATCGATATTGACAAGCCATTCGAGTTGCTCCCAGAACAGTCTGCTGCCATCTTCAAGAGAGACATCAGTGCCAACTTGGCCTCATCCTATGACAACCCCAAGACATTGTTCATGGCCCAAATCCTGAACAAGGCCCCAGCCAATGTCCGTGATGGATGGATATACCTACAACGTTTGCTCTACTCTGAGAGTTTCATCGACTCGTACAGCTACGTTCCACCTCAGTATAAGAACAAATAAAGAGTGTCTTGTACACTCTCTCTCTCTTGTTCATTGTAATATCACCATCCTTGGTAACAACTCTTTATTATTATAATAGTGTCAGGTGCTAGTTAGCTAAACTTGATTAAGTGCTCCACTTAGTTGGTAGAGATAAAGTCGACCTCCTTCTGCTGCTTCTTCTTGTTACGTGCTTCAAACTGGTTGCGGTTCTCAATGATCCTGCGAATGATGTCGCTGGTGGTCAAACCCTCGGTGTGCTTGACCTCCTTGTAGATGCCCATCTGCTTGGGGATCTTGTATGGATCGGATCCGTCGCTGGCAACAACGGGATCGTCTCCGTGACACACGACATTGATGCCCAGAGCTTCGATGGTCTCCTTTGACACAGTGAATGGTGCACCAATGATCACTTCATCGACGTATCTGCACGAGAGAACGCTGAGAACACGCTCGTGGAGGTTCATAATTGGGAAGTTGGATCCCTTCTGCTCGTTGACCACCAGATCGTCGTGCACACCGACGATGAGGAAGTCTCCCTGCTCCTTGGCTTGGCGCAGAGCCTCGCAATGTCCCACGTGGAACACGTCAAAGCCTCCATCCATGTAGACGATCTTGTCGTTGGGCTTTGGTGACTTGCCCTCTGAGAACTGGACGATCTTTCTGGTTGTTGGAAGGAAGTGAGACAGACTGGTGTATGGTGACACCTTGTGGAACTCCTTTGGGTTGACCTTGTTGAGAGCACTTCCCTCCTCGACACCCTGCAAATGGTCCTTGGTCAACAAAAGCATACGACCGACCAACTCTGTAGTAGAGACTCCCTCTGTTCTCTTGATGAATCTGTTGTTGTGACACCGTAAAGAGAATGGTCAGATGTCTGTGATGTTAACACTGCTGACACTCCTGTCTCGTCAACACTTACCTGAACATTCCTGAGTTCTTGATTGTCTCATAGACATCCTTGCCATCGGCACCGACAGAGATATCCTCTCCGTGAACACAAAAGTCACAGTTGAGCTCTTTGAGCAGCTCGACGGTGGCAGTATATGGAGCTCCCTCGGCAACCTCATCGGCCCACTTACAGGCACGGACGGCCTTGTAACGCTCTTGCTCGTTCATGACGGGTGGACCCTTGTTTCTGGCGATCTCTGCATCGGTGTGCACACCAACAACCAAGATATCGCCCAACTCCTTTGCTTGGCGCAATGCATTAGCATGACCAAAGTGCATCAGCTATAATATTTGACAATGTCCAAAGAATGAGCAACTCTAATGTAAGTTGTGCTGTCATATGATTGAGTGGCGATTGATAGTTATACTGACATCGAAGCAACCATCAACGTAGACTCTAATTGGCTTCTTTCCTTCAGTTGTTGTTGTTGCTGTTGTTGAAGACATCTTTATGTTTGTATGTTTATATTTATATGTATTATTTGTAATAAGTTAATGAGCTGAAATGATGAACTTGAACCAGAGTTGTTGCCCTCAACACTAGTCAAAACACACAAAAACACAAGATTTGAAAAAGATTCTTTGCGATAGACGACGGTTGTTGGAAGTTGGACTTAATTTTTCGTCGTCAGTTTCCTTTTCTTGTGACCTTTTGACTCCTTCGGCGGATTGTTCGAATCCAATCAATACAGTACATTTGATAATTTGAGCATGCATGGAGGAGGGATACATATATACATATAATCAGCAGCAGCAACAACAAAGTGATCTGTCATATATCAATGGCAGTTGTAAGAAGAATGCTGATATCATCATCTGTCTTCCACAGGGTGAGTCATGGACATCTGTGATCACTTTGTTGATGGTGATCTACTCTTATGTTCCAGTACTAGTATTCTTTGTACTTCTTGGTTGGTACTTCATACGTAAATCAATCATTCCCCTCTTGACACTGGCAGTGCTTTTGCTGGCTTTGCTACTGAATGAAGGCATACTCAAACACATTGTAAAACAGCCTAGACCTATTGGTACTTGTGCCTGTTCGTAAGTTGACCCATCATCCACCACCACCACCACATCACATTACTCTCAAGTCTCACTCACTCACTTCCTCATTCGATTCATTCGATTCATTCAGATATGGTATGCCATCAGGACACTCAATGACATCATGCTTGCTGCTGTTTTGGATCATCTTTGAAACAGTGTATCCATTGACTCGGACTATTAGCGATCGTAGACGAGTGACATATATTTCACTGGCACTGCTCACATTTGCATTGGTACCATACTCTAGAGTGTACTTGTTGTATCATACATGGCAACAGGTGTTTGTTGGAGGTTGTGTCGGATTCATAATTGCCATTGGTGTGTTCCTATTTCTACGTCTAAGACTGGTACATCATTTACCCAAACGTGATATATACTTTAGAACACATGTTGTAATAATCAATGACTATCGACATGTTACTTCAGTATCCATTGGCAGCAACAACAACTTCCACAACAACAACAACAACAACAACAACATACCACTCATTGATACAATCAAACGAACTCCAAGTCAACTTCAATTTGAATCACAAGTCACAATGGTTCATTCCACAACAACGACAATCCTATATCAAGATATTGAAGAAGAACATGAAGAACAAGAAGAACAAGAAGAGGATCACCATAATATTGACAATGACAAACATAGGCAACAACAACAAGTTCACGCATCATCACCATCCTATATTATACTAGGTTCTGGTCCTCCCTCTCCAAAAGCAATCAAATTGATGTAATAATAAATATTTATATAACTACCCATATGGACACAGGAATTCACTTATCAATCCAGGGTTCGCGGTAGTTGTGTTAATGATGATGTTAATGTATTGTTTGTTTGTTGTTGGTGTGTGAAATTGATTGATAGGATGAACAATTACAACATCATCATCATAATCATTGAATCAAAGATCTATTAAATAAGCGAAACACTATAAATAATAAATATATATAGATAGATACAACAACAACAACAACAATATGGTCATATGTCCAGAGTGTAGTACAGAATATGAGAAGGAGGCAAAGTATTGCTTCAAGTGTAGAATACCATTCACAGATGATATACCAGACAACATTAGACGATATCTGCGAGGTGGTGCTGCATCACCTGGCATTGGTCATCGAGCCATCACAACACCATTGAACCCATCATCATTCGAGAAGCCTCCTCTACAGAGGAATGTATCATTGCCAACAGTATTGAATGCCAAAGGTGCACCAGTGGCCATATCAAATCCTCCACCACCCTCTCTGACATCCAGTCTCAACAACAACAATATCAACAACATCAACTCCTATGTATCATCATCACCTCCCAACAACAACAACAACACTAGTATATTGGCCAATGTCAATACAACAACGTTTGCAACGACTGCAACACCATCTACGCCAACTTCATCACTGAACCGACCACGACAACAATCAACGCCAATTCCACCTTCACATCCACTGCCACAACTACCTCCCAACAAATCAGCGAGCAGCTTGCATCTGCATCAGACAGCGCCAAAGAGTACTGGTCGACAACCACCTCTTCCTCCAATGACATCATCACCACCCAATGGCATTGGACAGTCAAGCAGCAGATCTGCCACCAATCTCATGTCGTTAAAGTCACCATCATCCTCACCAGAGCCTACGCCCTATACGGGTGGCAGCGACATTGACTCTCCAGGATCTGTGAAGCGACCTCTGTCACGAAGGATACCGCCACCACCCCCAACAGCAGGTAAGAAGCTGGTGCGTGCAGTATGGGACTGTATCTCTGAGCAGGAGGGCGATCTCGAGTTCTACGTCGGTGACATCATTTCAGTGATCAGCAAGGATGAAGGTGGCTGGTGGATGGGCACTGTTCATGGTAGAACAGGCATGTTCCCAGCCAACTATGTAGAGGAGATGGATCAATAAATAATAATAATATAACATGTATGATCATTGTTTCCAGGTTGCTATCGATGGATGATGGTGATGATGAAGTTGAAAAAGAGGAGGTATCATGCATGGCACCTCTCTGTATAGATGCTGGAAGCTGGTAGACCGGTCGAGCCCCCTTTTATTACTATGCAACATAATCATATATCTAAAGATGAAGTGAGACTTTAAATCTTCAAGGCCTCGTTCTTCTTCTTCTTCTCTCCTCCAAGCTCGAAACGCTTGCAACGCTTGATAACCTGCTGCTTCTTGTGACCGCATGAGCACTCCATTCTGAGAACGATCTTCTTGGTGGTCTTGGCCTATCGATTCATAATATGTTTGATTGATTTGATTTGATTGGTTGATGATGATGGATGTTAGTCATCTATCATTGATGATGTCGCTAGCTAGTTGTCCAAACCTGTATCGTCTGTCGCAACACTGCTGTTGATATCCTATCTGATGATCGCTATATTACACACCTTCTTGTGGAAGACTGGCTTGGTCTGACCTCCGAAACCTCTCTGCTTCCTGTCGTAACGTCTCTTTCCTTGAGCAAAGAGACTTGGCTTACCAGCCTTGTACTGGGTAACCTTGTGTGGGGTGTGCTTGTTGCACTTGTCACAGTGAGTCTTACGAGCCTTGGGAATGTTGACCTGTAGTCGCGGTGTTGATGTTGAGTGGATGGATGATGTCAGAGAGTGATGCCATTGGGCGATTGTCAAGTCGACAACAGGATATAAGGATAACCAACCATTTTCAAAGAGTATAGGTGTGTGGAGCAAAGAGGATACTGTCTGTCAATAAGAGTAGATACATCACCCTGTATCCACACGCAATCCTCCAGCTCGTGTTGTGCTTCGCTCACTTCCACGACTTGATAAACTGAAAAATTAAAATAAAATGTTTTTGTACTTTGAATCGAACTTCAAATTATCATTGGTAAAAGCCACCAAGAAGAAGAAGCAGCCACCATAACTACTTCTTTTACTTGGCTTCACCAGCTGCACTTGTTTGAGGCAGAGGATATACATATCATTGTGAACATCTGAATCATCCATGTCAAAGTGATTCTTTATTATTTAAATCATTTAACCTCTCTCAATAAGACTTGGTTGGTATTGTTTATTCTATTCCCAACACAAGGTGCTCTTCAAATACAAATAGATGGAATAGATGACTACTTTTATTTGTAGACAGACTCTGTCTGATGTCGTCTTAAAGTATCAAACATACCTTCGATTACTTAGAGACTTCAAAAGGCGGGAAACAAAACAAAACCACCCCTACATTGGTGGTATCACCACCTGTTGATAGGTTCCAAACAATAATTTCAATGAATGTGACCTGGTAGGCCTATTTGATTGTTTTTTATTGATTAATCGATAATATTTGAACTTTATAAAACTATAAATTATTTACCTAGGTGATCAATACATCATCAATCAACTTATCATTATTTATACACACACACACACATACACATAAATTGTAAGTATTCCCCTTGGTTTCACCACCTCCACCACAAACGACAGTCTCAATTCGTCCCGAGTGATCAATCCCTGGGTGTGTTCCATTTTTGATTTTTGATTTTTTTTTAATTAATTTAGAAGGTGGAACACGCCCCACACCACAACACTTTGACACTAACCTATCTTCTCTGCCTTTGTCCACAACATAGTCACTCTTATTGTCAACTACATCAACACATACACAGATAGTTTAATTAATTTTATATATTACACAGAAATAGTCAACAACAATGGTAGACACATCTGATCTACTTCCAAAGACCCCAAGATACTTGAAGGTCCCTTTAATTATTCTTAACACCATTCTCTGGGTATGTTGTCGTCAACGAACAGCAGCAGCAACAACGACAACAACAGGTGTCAGAGTACAGTACTAACATACAATCAATCAATCAATCAATCAATCAATCAATCGATCAATCAAACAAAATATTTTTAGTTGTTAGGTATTGTACTGGTTGCATGCGGTGGATACGCACTCTCCAAACTTTCACATCTGGATGACATCATCAATGTCTCACTGCCAGCTGGTATCATCGTCATTGGTGTCTTCTTCCTCGTCCTGACAGTCGTCGGATGTGTGGTTGCCTACAAGGAGAAGCTTGTCGGACTTGTCTTCTACACCGTGTTCATGCTGATCCTCTTGGTCTGTTTGATTGGTGTCGGTGGTGGTGCCTTTAGCTACCGCAATGACGCCGCTAAGCCAATCGGCACGGCCTGGGATAAGGCCACCAACGACGAGCGCAACATTGCCCAGGAATTCTTCGACTGCTGCTGCTGGACCGACGCCAACAGCACCTGTGGCTCAAACTGCCAGGTGGTTAATGAAACCGGTTCCGTCGTCCCAAACCTCAACAAAACAACCTGTAACATTACCGTCGTCGACTATGTCCAAAAGAACCTGTACGTCGCTGGTGCTGCTGGTGTCACTGTCGGTGTCATCGAGTTTATCTCTATGTTGTTCGCGCTCTTCTTGATTGTCAGAATCTGCAAGAACCCAAGACCAAAGTCATACGACTAATACTTTCAATATTTAGTCACTCAATAAACATTCTCCAATTCCCTTTTATCATTGTCCTCAGTCTTTGCAGCAACTACAACCGACATACAACACGATGTTTAGAGTGAGAGTAGGGCAGTTCGTTCAAACAAACTACATGATGATGTGCTACTACAGTCGCTTTATGTCTTAAATAAGAATAAGTTTAATAAAAAAGGTGTCGGTAGGTAGCACTCCTACCAACAATGTACATTTGCTGGTAACTTGTCAACAACAGTAATTAGCTTTGAGCTGCTGCTGGTGCATCATTGTGATAGCCGGTGGCCTTGAGAACAGCTTGGTTAAACTGGTGGATGTTGTCTATATAGATATGATGGCCACTGTCCTCAATGATGACAACGTCCTTGATGTTCTTCATCTCCTGCTTCAATTTGGGACCAGTGGCTTGATCGATCCAAGTGTTTGAACCAAATAGTAGGGTGACGTCAACAGTTGGCGCGATCATTGACGCTCTGTTGATGAGTGGGTTGGCAGCGAATCCATAGGCCATCGCCAGTAGACTGAACAAGTACTCACCCGACGCAGGTTCCTGCGTGTTGGAGTGATAAAAGTATTCAGCCACACGATTGGGACGTTCTGGATTGTACTTTAGGTCGTCCTCTGGATAAAGATGGTGGAACTTGTTCAGCAAGTCTTGACGGAAGAGGTAAATGTAATCTTGACCAAATGGTCCAAACTTCCTCATCAATCTTAATGGTACTGGTGGTGCAATAACCTTTGATAGGAACTTAAAGCTGTAATAAAAGTGTAGTCAGTATCAACTCATGTGATTAATTAATTAAGTATAGAAATATACTTACAACAAAGAAACATTCTGTTCATAGTCCTTTGGTTTCTCAGCAAAGCCCCAAGCATCAGCAAGTACCAATGACTTTACCTTCTCTGGATGTTTCAATGTGAAACAGGTCGATAGGTAGCCACCCAATGAGTGACCCAACAGGTTGAAGTTATCCAAACCTACTTGTTCAGTCCACTCATACATGATGTTGACCCAGAACTCCTCTGCCTGTTCTGGTGTCTTTATGTTGGTCGTATCGAATCTTGAACTTCTTCCAAAGCCAAGTACATCAATTGCATACTATTAGATAAATGAAGATTGATACGAATGATGGGTTGTCCAAAAGTTAATATAAGTATGGATGATCAATTAAAGTCAGGAACTATATGAGTTATACATACTACTGTATAATATTGAGACAGGAAGTCAATGTTGGCACACCAAAAGCCAAGTGCCGAACCAAAGCCATGCACCATAACTAATGGATCACCACTACCAGTCTTTATCGTATTTATCTGGTATTGACCGACTTTGACAAACTTCTGCTCAATGGGTGTGGTCACCATCTCTAGCATTCGTCTCTCTGAGATGGCATGCTCCTCGGTCGAGGTGTTGAGCCATCGACCCTTAATTAAACATTGCATCCAGGCCATTCTTTGAGCGCGGTTGTACAGATAACGAGGTAACGATCTAATAACAAAGGCAAGAAGGGCTACGGCAAATACTCCATATACTGTTGACCACATAGTATAATATATGTGTTTATCTCTTTAAAATATAATATATATATCTATCTATATCTATCTATAGTAAAGCAACAGTAACTGGTGTTCTCGGTGGATGATGGGTGGATGGATAGATGGATGGATGGGTGGATGATGTATGTGAGTTAAATTGGGACCAGCCCAGTTCTGTAGGACTCTCTTGACACAGAGAATTCGCCCACATTAATAGGGCCACAAACCTCGATGATGTGGGGGTTTGTTGTGGGTATCTGGCATGGTTCTGGGGGGACCTCCATGAGCATTCCTCTCATCTTATGCCAACAATTCCAAGTCTACATGGGCCTAACTTTTTATTGTTCTTTTTCTCTAACTTGTTCGACGCCACTTGCTTGCTTTCTTCCAACACACACGAATTGATCAACGAACTGGTCATCCTAAAATCATAATTAATGGCTACCCCAGGCTGTCTACAATAGGTATGCTTAAAAGGTGAGTGTTTGACACTAGTGTCAATTCCAATTGGAATGCTTTGACAATCCATTGTTTACAAAATCAGGTTGATAGTAGTCGTTGTTTCCCTTCATGACCTGGGAGCACATATAATTCCTTAAATGGATTGATTGCAGGTTATAGTGTAGTTCCTGGTGCTGATTAGTGAGATTAACAACAACAACTACCTGCCTCTTTGCTCTTTTATCAATTTATTGAATACAAAAGGAGGAGGACTTCTCCTAACTGGTGTAGAATCCCCCAGAGATAGCATCGACACGATTCAAACAAAGACTGACCACTATTTTGCTACCTTCTTGAGGTGTTCGAGCGGCATGAGGTAGGTGTGTTGTCATGTCGGTAATGCAGAGGCCTGGACAGCAAGAGTAGATACTAACACCTCTGGTGTCTTGGATGCGATCAGTCTCTGCCAAAAGTCTAGTGCGAATTGTGAGGAACAATTTACTTGCGTCATAAGCTGATGATGGCCAACCATTAGCAACATGTGTACCATCACGTACACATTGTATATATTCGTCCAGTATTAGTTCAAGACTAGACTCATTAAGTTTCATATCATTAAGTCTTGACTGCAATTCCTTGCTCACATTGTTGGTGGAACCTCTAGAGCTGGACACATTGACTATAACACCATTACTATTGATCAATGGAAGCAATGTATCCACCATATCAATTGATCCATAGTAATTGGTTCTGAATGTTTCACTGTGTTTGGTTGTTCATTGATTGATTGATTGGTTAGTAATGATGTTTGAATGAATGTACAAATAGTAACATACTTTAAGACTTCATAGGTGGTTGGTTTGTTGATAAATATAGCAGCATTATTAACTAGGTAGTCTATCTTGCCATACTTTGTTCTGATTATCTCTGCAGCAGCCAGTACCATATCATGATTCGATATATCCACTTGTATGAAATCACAGTCTAATCCCTTCTTGATCAGATCGTTTTGAGTTGCAATACCAACTTGCAAGTTACGACAAGCAAGAATGACCTTTACGTTATTCTGTGCCAATGCTGTGGCTATACACAGTCCTATTCCTCGGTTTGCTCCTGTTACCAGTGCGATCTTATTATTCATCGACATCATCATGTGACAGTCATCACTCGAATGGAATTGGTTCCTTTTTTGATCGTGAGGTTGCAACCTCATCACCCCACGACAAGCACAAATCATCATTGGAACAACGTTGTTTATTGTTCATGTAGGAAAGCATTGCCAACACCTGCTCCGTTGGCTGTTGGAACGGCGGCCATTGGTGGAGTGTTGGCTGGTGTAGATACAATGTTGTGACCAGAGACTGCAGAGTGAACATAGTCAACATAACTCTTATCTGAACGATACCTATCAACAATCTCTTTGATCCTCATCTTTCTCATTGCGTATCTAAATAAAGGTGTGCGTGTGTACATGTTAGATTGGTTGTGCATCAAATGTACATACTCAATTACCAATGATATAACTTACGGTCTTGTGTAGTTTGGAGTATTGTATCTTATCTGTTTGTAGGCATTGATGGCAGTCTGACGAACAAGAGTGGACAATAGCTGCTTGTTTACAGCCATGCCATGAACCAGAGGACCAAACATTGGCACCTTGGACTCCTTGCGGTAGATCTGCACTCTGAACAGTCCATTGGGCAGTGGGTATATTACAATATGTGCGTCATTGAACTGGCTGGTAATAGTGGTGGGACAGTAGTCGCGAATGTGCTCTGACCAAATAATGTTTACAATGTCGTTTCCGACGTGACGCTTCTTGTGGATCTGCTGTGGCTCTGCCTTGTTGGTGGGCATCATCGTGATGTTGTGGAAGATTGTCTCAACCGCCATGTTGGCAAAGTATGGCGCTGTGGTTCCAGTGGTCTTTTGGCGGTCGAGACCACCTAGATATCCTCGGTGAGTCTGCAGGTCGATGGGCCAGCCCAGACCATTGACAAACTCTGCATAGAGACTGGATGATGTGGAGTTGTGCAGGATGTCGCGTTGTTCATCCTGTCCCTCGGCCACGTAGATTAGGCCAATCTTTTGGATGTCACGTGATGGTGTGATGTCCAACTGCTGGAGGGCACGGACAAACTTGATGTTGGAGTCCAGTTGCTTGAGATAGGACGAGTTGGAAATGTTGAGCAATCCAAGGTAGGACATCAGTAGGCGACGTGCCTGTGACGCTACACCAGCTGTCTTGACTGGTGGACGACAGACCCAATCTGCTGACTCATTGGTGGACTCTTCGTACTTCTTGTTCTGATAGTCAATTTCTTGTTTGACAAATGACTCTACCTCTCCTTGAATGCGTGTGAACTCCTGGATTAGAGTTTGTCGCATTGAGCCCAATGGACGGTCTAGTGCAACACCGGACGTGGGCAAGCACTCGGGTTGTTTGGAGAGCTCTAGAAGCAGGCCCTTTAACTTCTCATCCTTTGGTGGCTCGGGCTTGGGAGGCTTGACAGGCAGCTTGTTCTCGTACTGATACGATGTGTTATCAATGATCACTGGCTGAGAGTTTGCGTACATCTTCACCAATGACAGAGGTGGCGACGAGTTGGGAGAGGTATCGGTACCTGCTTCACTTCCTGGCGTCAGGTTGTAGACATGATCAAAGTTCCACACGTACTTTCCAGTGGCATCGCGGATGAAGAGACGTGCGAGTGTTCCCTGTTGGCCGTTGGGTTTGGGTACCTCCACAATGGAGATCAAGGCATTCTCGTGCAGGACGCTAAACAGAGGGGTCTCGTCCTCTGGCACCGCCGCTTGCAGGTCGTCTGCTTCGTCAACGAGTGAGGAGAATACTTCGGGACCCTCCTTGCTGGGGAAGTGGTGCACAAAGTTCATACAGTTGAACAAGAGTGTCTCTGCGGCATCCTTGATGAGTGAGGGCTTTGGTTGGTTGGCGCCAAAGCTTTCAAGTATGTCGTCATCCAATTGTACGCTATCTTTAAGCTTGCCATTGATTGGCTTGGACAATGCAGTCGACTTGTTCCTGGCTAGGCTCTTGGACATCCTCTTGAGAGGGTCGAGACTGTCGACGCCCGAGTTCCAAGACTCGCCACGTTGACCCAAACCGGTTTCGATGGCCTGGAACAACTTGGTGCGCAGCTCGGCAAAGACTTGATCGTCGAATATGCAACTGTCCTGACAGGCCCAGTCAAGAAGGCAGTAGAAGTGGTTGGCAACAGTTTGTTCAGAGACGGCAGAGTTTCCAGCCTCATAATCGTTCATAGCCTTGATTGTGGCACCACACACTGTGTTGAGCATGAGCAGCACTGTTGGCTTGGTCAGTCGTGGGAAGATGGCCGACAGATTGGAAAGGGCATCGAGGGCAGTCTTTGAGAGTGATTGGTCTTGGTGAAGAGTGAAGGAGCTGATGCACTCGATGAGCTCGTTCACTACACTTTGGTTGAAGGAGGATGTGGCATCTGGTGAGCTGTTAAACTCCTCCATTGCCAATGTTGACAATGACCACAGACATATTATCCTATTCTCCACTGACTTTTCATTCTTTAGTGAATAGATGAGTAGATCGATCAACTCTTTCTTTAACTGTATATGGTATGATCATTGTTTGATTAGATTGATGATGATTGAGTATTGATTACAGGATGATAATAGTTACCTCTTTCATTGTCAAGTCCTTTGAGATTGCTTTTCCATTTTGGTCGCGAGCACCAGTTAGGATGAGCGATGGGAAGTGATAGGGATAGAAGAGGAGCGAGGCAATGATAACCAAACACTTCTTCCTGACATCCTTGGGTGGCATATCATATTCATCACCAACAAGGTTTGACATCTATGATTATGGTCCATCAGTTGGGTTAGGAAATGATCTTTGTATCAATTGGAGTCCAGGCTACTTACAATTGCTCTGATTCGATAGAGGAATGGTGATACCAGGATGTTGACACCCGGGATGGCAAGATTAAAGATGTTGCTGCATTGAGGAATGACTGTCCAGGAGAGATCAACGTGGTTGACTCCTGCCGGTGAGATCACTTCGGGTGTGAGCAGTACCTTCTTGACCAACTCGTAGAAGGACACGAGCACCGTGGTTGGGTACTGTGGATGATGTCTACATATGAGACGACAGAGACTGTTCAGCGCCAGCACCTTGCTGTTGACGTACTTGTTGTCCAAACGATAGGCATCAAATAGATGTGGTCCAAAGATATTGAGCAATGAAATTGGTCGCCAGTTGTTGTCCTTGGTCGTGGTGAACTCGACTTGCTCCTCGGCCTCCAGTATGATGTCAATGATATCAGAGAATATACCCATTGACAACTCGTGTGTCGTGGTCTCCTTGATATTGTGTACATTCTTAAACATTGATAGGAGGAACGTCCAGGTAGTCATACAACTCTCCTTGTCCCACTTTAGCTGTGCAATATTTGATTCACTGTATGTTCGTTAGCATGATGTACTGGATATCATGATATCCAACAACGTTGTTACTGGATAACTTACATTTGAACCTCAACAAGAGGATCTCGTGAGTCGAATGACTTTGGTGCACCACCTTTCTCTGCGTTCTTGATATCTTTCTCCAACTTTTGCTGCTTCTTCTCACTGAGTGGATAGACGTAGCCCTTGAGGATGGTGGTCATCTGGATGATCTTGGTTTTGATCTGTTTGATGACCTCGGCACGATGATACAGCTCCTCAAACTGTTGTGCGAACTTGAGCCACATATCAGGATTGTTCTCCTTGGACTTGATCCATGCGTAGAGAGTGGTGGAGAGAATGGTTTGCTCCAGTGACATGCTGGCCTTGTTGGTGTTGGACTTGCGCAGTAAAGAAAAGGTGGCTTTGATCATTGCATTGAGCAGAATCTCACGGGACTTTGGTCTCAGGTTTGGATACTCATCGATCAGTTGCTTCAGAGTACCAATGACAAACATTCCAATGATCTCACGCTCCTTCTCGTGACCGGCAGCGTCAGTCTCAAACACACTAGTCATCTCTGTCAATATGAATGTTTGGTATGTGAACAACTCTTCACCAAACACATGGAATAAGTCAGGTGAGCTGTTATTGATTGGCTGTGATTGATGTATGTTAGTAATGATAGGTGGAAACAACAACAATATTATGTAGTTGTGTGATGATCACTTACCAAGAATATAGTCTGGAAGATGTAGATTGACTTCTTGATGACCTCAAAGTACTTTAGAGGTAGACGACAACTCTGCTTGAATATCTCCAATAGAATGGCAATCTTTCCAGTGCCTGGAGTGTTGGTGAGGAACTGGGAGGCACCTGGTGCTGGTGTTGGGGCTGGTTGGTCACATGCACTGATTGCAAAGTTGTTGGCGCCGCTGTTGTTGTTGAGCAGGAACTCCTTGACCGATGAGTTTGACGCCACCCAGCTGCTGAGATAGTTGATGATGGTCACCTGCAGATCGTGTGGACAGTGGCTGCCAAAACCAGAGTTGTCACCGGCCGGAAGGAGACCAATCTTCTTAAAGACGGTAGGATATAGCACTACGAGATACTGCGACTTGAGCACCTCGAACCAGAAGGGGAAGTTGTTGAGACGCGATGAGATGTGAATAAAGATTTGCTCAAAGAGTGAAGAACTCTCTTCGCGTGTGGGTGGATCGGTTGATTGCACCAGGATGTAGCGCTTGGCACTGTCCTGGCCTGTGAACACCTTTTTGGAAAAGGTAAGTCGGTAGGTGTAGTCGCTAGAGTATGGCGTAAAGTCGATGATGGCCGCAAACAGGTCGAGCTTGTGACGATCGGGCTTCTCCATCACCTCGAGGAAGAACAACAATGTGGAAAAGGCCGACTGTCGAATGGAGTGGATGTTTTCAACACCCAGCATCTTCTCGAGTATGTTGACGATACTCTTGACCTGCCAACCCTTCTTGATCATGGCCTCGAGATGGATGAGGATACGCTTGAGCAGGTCGTTCAGCTTCATCACCTCCTTCTCGGCGGAATGGTGCTTGCCCAATTTGTAGGTGCCCAACTCATAGGTTGAGAATGTGGACACGAACGTTTGATAGATGTTCTGACTGTTCTCCTTGAATACCTTGTCGATCTCCTGGTCGTCCGAGTTGTTGATGAACGAAGATAGGCCCTTGAACCTCTTGGTGGCGTCTATTGAGACGTCGAGGAACTGGGCCAACTTCTTCTTTGCCTTCTCCTTCTCTTTGGTACGTGCGCTTGCATCTCCACCGCTCTGACTGGTGAGGAGCCATGATATGTTGTTGGTGTTTAGAGCATTGTTGTTACTGAACAGTAGATTGGGTGTGAGTGATGTGCCTGGTGAAGAAGAGAGTCCTGTCGTCGTCGTCGTTGTTGCTGGTGGTGTCGAGGTCATTGAGGTATTGCCATTGGCAACATTCGCACCACCTAGTCTATTATTGCCCAGATAGGACATGTTATTATTTATATTCGTATATATTTAACTATATGGATTACAATGTTGTTGTTGTTGTTGTTGTAGTGAGTGATTGATTGAATGTGTAGAGGGATGTCGCGCAATGCAAGCAGCAAGTCAGAGTTTGTCGGAAGACTCCCAAGTTGAGAATGACAACAACAATGTTAAATTATTCAACAACAAATAATAAGGGAGGTCAACTGCAAATGATGAAAAAAACGAGTGGACCTCACACACTCAACTCAGGTTTTTAGTTCCTTGGTGTTGGCCCACACACTCACCCAAAAATCCCAACAAATATCTTCTACTCTGGATCTTTTCAAAAAAGATCTCTAATTGGTGTAGGTCCAGTGTAAGATCAGTGATAGATCTGGTAATATATATCTCCTATCTTTACGACCTTGTGGTATAAACATCATCAGTAAGATCTTCATCTTTATCATCATCTATGTTGTTTATTGCTATCTTGTGATTGGTTGGAATCAAAGACAATCAAGTATTCTTAGTTTAAATACTTGAAGAGATTTAGAAAGTATTATAATAGAACTGCTTCCAACCAACTAGGTTTTATCGGTTGATAGCTATCAATATAAATAGACCTGTTGGCTTTTTTTTGATGCCTTAGTATTTATTATAATAAAAAAATTAAAAACCCAGTCTGTGTCTTTTGGATGAACAATCACTTTTTTAATTAATTGAAATTAGGTTAGTTGTAGATAGATAGATAGAATACAAAATGTCAAGAAAAGATAACGTCAGTGATAGATATATAACAACAGCATTACACGATGATGTCGATGCTACTCTCGCCAGGTACGATAAGTACTACTGTATGGAGTGATGGAGAGAGAGAGAGAGAGAAAGAGAGAATGTGTGCATGATAATTAGATGGAAGAAGGAAAGAAGAAATGATAGCTATTATGAAATGATATTATGACTAATACCAAACAACTAATCTATTAGGATGTTGGACGATAGTAAGCTGGCTGGAGGATCAGTCAATCCACAATTCTGCGGAGAATGTGGTCAGAGATGTGGATTGGCCTATCCACATCCAACAGACAAGACAATGGTCTATTGTCGTGAACACTATGAGAAGCTGGTGGCTCCAGTGTGCGAGGGATGTCTTCGTGCCATCGTCGGTGAGATCAACATGCCCAGCAACGGTAAGAAGTATCATCCCGAGTGCTATAGCGAGGATCACAAGTGCTCTAGATGTTCGATGCCAGTCATTGGCCAGTCTACAATGGCACTCCGTAAGCACTGGCATCCAAAGTGCTTCACATGCACCTTGTGTAACACCAAACTGGGTGACACATACGTCGACAGGAGTGGCAGTCCATATTGCACCAAATGTAACTTGGATCTAGCTGATGGACAAAAGTCACGTGCCTTGCTTGAGGGGCATGGCCATATCGTTGCCTCAACCAACAAGGAGGCTGCCGAAAGGAACCAAGTCAAGACTGACCTATTTGACAATGTACAAAAGGGCAAGGAAACATGTAACTGGTGTAGGAAGATCATTGTCCCAGGCCCCTTCCAAACAGTTACTTTTGCCGGTGCACTCTACCATGAGCAGTGCTTCATGTGCACCACCTGTGGCAAGTCCATCGGAGCAGAGCCCTTTGTCAACAAGAATTGCGTGGCACATTGCCAAGATTGTGGCAAGAAGTCATCAGTGGACTGTCATGGATGTCGCAAGCCGATCACCTCCACCTATACCATTGCTGGCAACAACAAATATCATCCAAATGTAAGTGTTTCTACTGATGTTTGAGATGAACGACAAACATATATTAACAATCGAAAACAAACTCAGTGTCTGGTGTGTAAGCAATGTACAACAACATTGGAGAAGGGTTATGTTGAGAATGCTGGACAGTTCTACTGTGGACCATGCTCAAAGGGCAAAACAACAGTCACAACATCACAGACCACCAACCTACCAGCAGGAAGAAAGGGAGGATTCGTAAGTAGCAGTGCAGTCAAGCCTTCATCACTCGATACAAGACTAACTTTAATATATATATATTATTAGACTGTGGACCCTAGATCAGGTAAGAAGACTTTTCATTAAGTGAAGTGGTAAACATGGATTTGAAATCCTGTCATTATTATTTATTACACAACTGTATTTATTAAATATTTATCCAAATGACAGTATTGTCATACGGCACTTGGTTCAAAGAAGTCAATTGTAGAGATATCTTCACGTTGGCATTGGTCCAACTGATTATCGTTGTCTTCCTCTTCATCATTCGTCGGCGAATGAGTAATTGTTATTGTTATTGTCACTGTTGATAATTTACGACATTGGACTAATAAGAGACCGAGACATTCGTCCAGTAATTTCCAGTACAATGATAACCAATCTGACAGTGTTCCAAAATAATGTACCATCTTCCTAGTATACTATAATATAATCCTGGTAACTTAATGGACTGATTGTCTGTCTTATACACGGTGAAGTTGACATGATCGTGATTGTGTGTGTGTGTGTGTGTTTGATATGTGTGGTTGTGTGGAACAGTTATTGAACAAGTGATGTGATTCCATTCAACTAGTCGATGGTCTTCGTGTTTATATTTATATATTCTGTAATGTCTCACCATGCAATCTCTTGAGGTATTCCATTTTGGTTGGATGGAAATCGTTGTCATTGTTGTTGCTATTGTTATCTAATTGTTGATGATGTTTGAAATACGAGTGTAATAAATATCTTTCAGAGTCACTCCTCTCTAATGTTGTTATCTAAATGATCATATGATTGATTAGAAAGTGCATTTCCATAGCTGACTTGACAGTTTGATTTGACTTACATTGGTTAGATTTAATACGTGTAGCCTTGATATCCTTGGAATAATGTTCATTCTATTGAGCATTAACTTCTCATTTTGAAGCCTGCTGTCATTGCTTGAGCTTGGAAGTGCAACACTGGAAGTGGTGGCAGATGATGTTGATGCTGTTGTGGATTGACTATGGAAATAATCAATGATTGGATTATCTCGCAATGACAACTCTGTAAGACTGGGCAGTTGATCCAGAGAATCAATGCTGCTGGTGTCTGCTATTAGATTGTTTGAGAGAAAGAGTGTGCTCAATCCACTGAACAACAATGTTTGTTTGCCACCTTGGATCAGTTCGTCATAGGCCACCAGTGATGTCGTTGGGAATGTGATGTTGTCCAGTAGGTTCTTACTTAGATTGAGTTCTTGTAGACTGTTGTTGATTCATGATACACCAAGTATGTTTAGTAATGTTAACACGATGGTTATTTCTAGGATGTAGTGATACACATACCTATCAATCAATGCAACACCTTCCAACAATGTTGTAAACTGGTTGATTGAGTTGTTGCTCAGGTCAAGACTTTTGAGATGTTTGAATACTTCAGTGACAGTGTTTGGCGCTTGAAGATGGAGAGTACTGATGGAGTTGCCATGTAGTCCAAGCACTTCAAGATGAGGGAACAGTATGTGCACCATCCTGCAGGCAGTGTCCCATCCAGTCTTTGTATGATTGAGGAATAGTGCCTTTACACCACTGCTACTACTTGACTGTATCAGCTTACTTGGATTCAAATCATCCAACAGTCTATTCTCAGAGAGTGTCAAACGTTCCAGTTTAGAGGTCTGGGTCACAAGATTGCCAACATCACTCCATCTTGAGATGAGATTCTGAGAAAGGTTGAGTTCCAATAGGTCTGTCGGGTATATGTGTTGGTGATTATGTGCTATGTGATGTGACTAAGGGAGTTGAATGCTTACTCTCACCAAGATACATTGCAATGGCTGATGGTGGATCAATTGAACTGATTGTCAGGTTGTTGGCAACGATCACCGTCTGCTTTGAGATTGTCTTCTGTTGCTCTCTGACCTTCTCCATTCCTATCATTTCAATTGGTGTGTTCCTGTCGATATTTCCAAGTCCACCTGATTATGTTGATGTTGTTGATGATGTTGAGTGAGCTAGCTAGTCGATCACTAGACACATCTTTGAGGAGTACTCACTGTGATCAACATGATCTGAAAACTTGGTGACGATAGCATCGAGTAGAGTTCTTCCTCTGATCAGCTTGTCAAGCTTCATGAATGAGCCACTGCCATCGTAGGCACACTCAAAGTAGGCACGCTGTTTGATGGTACCCTTGTGTTTGCCACGGGTTGCGCTATCCCAACAAACACCATACCATTGGCCTTGGAAACCATCTACATCACCTATATACATGACTGTGCCAAAGTATCCATCGTCTGACAGTAATCTATCACCAATGCGAATATCTTCTTGTTGTTGTTGTTGTTGTTGTTGTTCATTCTGTAATGATGTCATTGTATCTTTACAAGAGTATTTGTTTGTTTGTTGTTCTCAAATGGGAAAAATCTGTTGTTGTTGGTTCTGTCGCTAGTTGTCTTGTGAACCAAGTGTGTGTTTATTACTCTCTATATTTGTATTGCGACAACTGATGTCAACGTGGACGCGTAAATATATATAATAATCGACGATTACTCCATCGTTGAGAAGTAGTCCATAATAGAAGAGCTTGAATGATCTTTTATCAAAGCTGCCAGTTTGCTCTCAATCAACACGAGTCCATCCTTGATCTGTTTGGTATAAATGGGTCAGTCAATCTGATTCACAACACAGCCAGCCAGCTTGGTACATAGCAGCAGGGTATACATACTCTTGACTTATCAAAGTTAAAGTCCTTTGGACTCTCCTTGATTTTTGCTTTCCATGTTCTGATCATGTGTTGGAAATTTAGCCTTTTCTCTGCGGTCTTGAGTCGATTCAGCTCCGCACGATCATTGCTTGTGATGTCCACCAGCGTCACAAGGTTCAAAACCAACAAGACGTCCAATGTCTCATCCCTAATCTGTTGAACATATGGCATAACAAGCTTGACCATCTCCTCGATCATGTTTGGCTGCACAATCATTTGTTCGATGCTTTCGTCCGAGGCCTTCAACAGCTTGCCAATTGAGAACAGTGCGAAACGTCGCTGAAGGTCGATTCCAGGACGAATGGGCACGGCGGGCAGTGCGTATGACACCTTGTTGCACAGTGCCATGCGGTGCTCATCCTTGAGTGACTGCCACACCGACTGGAATAGGGAGAACAGCTCTGTGTTGGCGCTCTCCATGTCCACCTTGTCAAAGAAAGCATGACAGAGACTATCTAGTAGAGGATTGAGCAATAGAACGATCTTGAACACAGTGGACTTGTGTTTGGCATCGTCCACCGAGTTGACATTGTCGCTTTGCGTCTCCTGCTTCAGCAGTGGCTTCTTTCCTCTGGTTGGTAGGACTGGTTGTTGTTTGACAGAGTTGTCTTGATCCTCTGGTTCGCTGATGCCAACAAAGCATGGGTCCATCATCAAAATGATGACAAAGAGTATTGAGTGCTTGATTTCCTCTAATGATAGTTGCCTATTATGTTGTGTAATGTCAGTACTGATGTTGAGCTATTGTAGTAGTAGTAGTAGTAGTTACTTACTTCTTCATTGTCAACTCCTTCAAAAGACTGAGTACATAGTATAGGTTCAAGAAGGGGAATGATTGTGCTGTATGATTGAATGATTGAATGGTTAGAGGATGTATAGTACTCCAGTGAGTTGAACATACATGTTTGCATATCGCCACCAGAAGTTGATGATCCACTGTCACCATCATCACTACTGTTATTAAAGTTCACCTTGAAGGACTGGTCTGTCTCTATCTTGTACAGACCAAATACCCTCAGGAACTCTGTGAATGGTATCAACATTGAGGAGGAGTTGTCGTTCGTCATAATTGTTGTTGTTGTACTGCTGCTGCGCTTGTTATTGATGTTCACGAGCACAACATATGCTTGATACACTGTCAACTCATCCGATTCAAAGCAAACTGCCAGGTGTTCTGGTAAGTAGTCTGACTATGGTTGTACCATCCAATTTGAATAGGCCTGACTACATACCATAAGAGAATAATACATCGATGAGATATTTGGGCAGTGAGTTGATATCGAATGTGTCCAGTATGCTGTCCAGTCCGTTCTGTATCAGCATCTTAAAGTTATTGTAGCTAAAGCCCTCTCTGTTGTTGTCCTCTTGTTCACCCTTGCGAATGCCCTTTTTGAGCAGTCTGCTGCATGGCAGACTCTGGATGTCATCGGGTTGGACATCCAATATGGAAGACAAGTCTGTTGGTCGCGGTAGTGACAGTACATTGAGCTCCAGCAAACTTTTCTGAGAGGCTATTGAGTTCAAAAGAGAATCGGACTTGATGTCTAGTAGCTGTTGTTGTTGTTGTTGTTGTTGTGACAGGAAGCGCATGGGTCAGTGAGTGTCTTCATAAATAACCAGATAGATAGATAGATGATACCTACATCCTTGAGACGAGCCATTTGCTCTGCGTTGATCTCCAAGTCCAACTCAGCAGACTTCTTCTTCTCGGTCTCTTCAGTGAGCAACTCATCGTAGGTTACGATTGGTTCCTGCTTTGCATAGGTCTTCTCCTTCTTCTCCTTGAGCAATGAGTCCAGTGAGAACTTGGCTGCTGTTGGTTTGCTCTTCTTTTGCGGCTGGGTAATGATAGATATGCTTGGTTGTTGTTGTTGTTGTTGTGATGAGGACGATGATGTTGATCTTGATGTCGATGTTGTTGATGTCGATGATGTTGATCTTGATGTAGATGTTGTTGATGTAGTAGATGATAACGTTGGAATTTGTGTTGCCCAATAGGATGGTGCTGATGATGATGATGATTGAGATGAAGTATCGAGAGGTCTCTTCTTCATTTTGGAGAAGGTCTTTGTAATGGCTTGAGCAGGAGGCTTTCTTACAACAGTTGGAGTGAAGAGGTCATCTAGCAAGTCCTCCATGCCAGACTTCATCTTTACTCCACCTGATGCAGTCTGCTCAGTCTTGTATAGGCCATCTGTGTTGCTCATAGTTGTGTATTTTGCTATATCTGTATGTTATTGGACCTTTAAAGTTTATCCAAAAACTGATCATAACAAAAAAACGATGGAGAATGGCGCCAAGTCTATTCATTCTTTGGGGTTCGAGTTGGAAATTTAATTTATTTATAACAAATACATTTATCTAATCTCTGTATACTCTTATGGTTGAGGACATTGTTGTTGAAGATAATGTAACTCATTGTATATCTATATCTTATAGATCTCTTGAATGTGTGTAAGTGTGTGTGTTTGTTTGTGTGTATGTGTGTGTTGGTAGTAGAGAGAGTGTTTGTTTGATTAGGAGGGGGTGCTCTTCACAGGTTGGTGCTAGCTAATAATAGTGTCAATCACAGCAACAGCAGCAATAACAACAACAACAAACAGTTACAATTACATCAACAACAATATTATTAATAATAACACACCCTTTAACTTATTATTTCTTCTCTCTATCATTTAGTAATAATACTATTTATTTATTTATTTATTTATTTATTTATTTATTTATTTATTCATGCATTAATAGGTAAGATCCAAACATTTTGTTCTGACAGATATTTATATTTCGTCCACACATTATTACCTTGTTGTTAACGGACAACAATGCTCAAAATTTGAAATTGTTGATGGACACAAAAACAAAAACAATCAATGTTGTTGGCGGTTAGTTGTTTGGTCGTGGTTGTTTGTGGGAAGAAAGAAACAACCCACAATCAATCGATAGTAACGCCTTTGTTTTGAATTGGTCTTTAGTTTTGTATCTCTTTAAATATATATATATTAACATTTTTGTTTAATATCATCACACTCAATATGTTTAGTGATCACTGAATACAGTACTCTATAACAATCAATTTCAATCACAGCAATCTTACAATCGATCAATCAATCAACCAATCAAACAAACAAACAATCAATCAACAAACAAATAATTATAATATCAGCTTATGAACAAGACTACCACTACTACTATTACTACTACAGCCGCAGTGATAATGGACTGCGAGAGAATATTGGACGATATATGTGGTGGCGCAGTGGCCGCTGCAGCTTCCACACCTTCCATCGTGAAGCAACGAGAGAATACCAACAACCACAACATGGACGATGAACAGGACAGCGTATCATCAAACTCATCTGGCGAGGATGTCACACTGTCAGTGTCATCGGACAATGACGACGACAATAATATCGATCACAACAATGATGCCGACGACCATCAAGTGCGCGCTATTAGCAACGCCAATGATCTCAGTGACCAACAACTATTAACCAATAGCAATGACAAGGACATTGCCGACGCCATTGAGATACAAGAGGCACAACAAGAACTCATCAGACAAAGTCTATTGGATCTGGAGGCAAAGACACCAAAGAAGACCAGCGCCCCAATGACTGCATCAATTATAGCAAATCGTGAGGAGGTCATGAAGCAAGAAAAGCTGGATCAGGAGATCGTACCTCCTGTGGTACAAACAGATCATGATGAGGCCAAGTTCTTTGCATCACAATCCGTGAACAACAACAACAACAATACACTATCAGCAACGACATCTTCATCTTCATCATTGGCTCGCATGTCAATCGACAACAGTGCTTCGTTGTCCACAGAGAACATCTTCTCGATCATCAAGGAGATTGAAGACGCCGTCAACAACTGCAATGCATCATCCACGTTGCGTACATGCAAGGAGGCAACCGCCGTCACCAGACTCAACAGGAGCTCATCCATTACACAGACCACATCAACGACCGCAACAACTATCAACCTGATTCCAGCTCTGCCACTGCCACACACACAACCAATCACTCAACCACAGCCACAGTCACCCAAGCTCGTACACCAACAACTACAACAGCAATTGGAAGTATCCAATCGCAAGATGTCCATATCAGCAATCTCAATGCCAAACACACCGACACCCGTTCATGCCAACCAGACTGCCCCTGCCATTGTGCTGTCAGCCTCAACACCATCACTGCCACAGAGCATCAAGACGTTAACTACCACCACTACTACGACTACCACTACCACCATGACCACAACAATCTCTACCAATGATATATTAGAAAGACAGAACAACAACAATGCTACCACAAGCAGTAGCATGGGAAGTCTTGGTAGCAGTAGTAGTGGTAGTGTTGGCAACCTCAACAGCAGCACCACCATCAAGGACAAACAGATCGCAGGACTCAGTGACTCTGCATACCACAACACTTCAGTATCCAAATCATCCAAGCACAGACTATTCAAGTTCAAGATAAAGGGACGCAACAACATCACTGCCTCTGAGTCTCTGCCACCTCTCACAAGCGAGCCCTCCACGGCAAGCTCACCAGAGAAGAAGGAGAAGAAGAAGTGGTCACTCTCGCTTCGCAGGAAGAAGAGTAAGAAGCATCCAAAGATACCAGAGATGGAGGAGGAGGAAGTGGATGATGGACATCAGGATGAAACCACAATCGTACTGGAAGAGCCAAGTGATATGTGTCTGGAGTCTACCGACATTGCAATTCCCATGACAACTACCTCGCCAAACCTCATTGCCGACATCCCCAACATACTCTCTGCCTCGGTGCCAATCTCTGAGAGCCCTCTTCAGTTCTTCCTGGACGCAGAGACCAACAACAAGGGCAACAGTTTTGGAGGTGGCAAGGGAATACTGGAGACACTGGCCGAAGAAGATGACGACGCACCACGTGGAGGACGAGGAAGAAGCAATGCTTTCTACATGAAGGGTCCACCCGTGATGGTCAACGGAGAGATTCAGCTGCCACCACCAATCACCACGACAACAATGACCACCACGACAACCACAACACTGGCTGGATCTACCATTCCAAAGGCCCGCATACAAAGCTTCGAGGTGAAGGCCTTGCCAAAGGAGTCTTCCAATCTCATGTCCAAGCCAGTTGGATTGCTGAGCAAGTTCAAGAAGAGTCCCGCCAAAACTGGTGCCATGCTTCGTGTCGTCAGACATCATTCGTCTCGTTTCATGGTTGGCTTTGCAGACACAATTGGTCGTCGCCCACATATGGAGGACGACGCCGTCATCTATGGAACGTTCAGAGGCAGATCGGACGAAGATTACTTTGCCCTGTTTGATGGTCACGGAGGATCTGTCACGGCAGAGCTCGCTGCCAATGAGATGCACAAGGTACTGGCAGAGAAGCTCAAGACCAACAGCAATAACCCTGTCAAGTCACTGAGGGAGGCGTTCCTCGGTGTCCACCAGATGATCGGACAGAAGAACCTCAGAGGTGGAACGACTGCCTTGGTTGTCCTGTTCCTTGGCAAGAAGGGTTACGTCGCCAACTGTGGAGATACTCGTGCCGTTCTCTGTAGAGAAGGAGTGGCGCTGCGTGTTTCCAACGACCACAAGCCAAACGATCCCAAAGAAGAGGAAAGAATCAAGAGTCTTGGTGGCAGTGTCATAACAACAGTGAACTCGTCAGGTATCAGCATGAGCAGAGTGAATGGACAGCTGGCCGTGTCAAGGGCTCTTGGTGACGCCATACTTTYCACCATACGTCACATGTGAGCCAGACATCCATGGTCCAAWTCAACGTTGGCTCTCGCTCCAAGAACCAGTTCATGATCATCGCCTGTGATGGTCTGTGGGATGTGATGACAGATGAGGAGGCAATGAAGTGAGTAGACCAGCAACCCAACCAAATTAGTTAACAACATTCTAACAATCATTATCCACCATCTATAGCGTTGTATCTCCAATTGATGATCCAGAGAAGGCATGCATGAGACTGCGAGACCAAGCATTTGCCAGAGGCAGCACAGATAACATATCGGTGATGGTCATAAGGTTCCCTCCATTTGACTTGTAAGATGACATCATACGCAGGATGTCTAGTGAGTTGAACGATCGTCAAGCAACAATAAACCTAAGCAGCGTGTTGTTGCGCCATGGCAACATGGCTTGTATATATATATATAATGTAGATCACTGTCTTTATTCCAACACCAACTTTGTGTTACCTTTGGTCAAATCCTTCCAGTGTTGGTGTGTCTCTGAGATTACACCTTCTGTTTCAGCATGGTCGATTGGCTGTCCATTTAGAGCATACTCATTCTCTTGCTTGCCCTCGGCAACTTTGTACACTTTGTACCATTCTCTTACCTTATCCACTGTGCCAGGTAACACCTTCTCCAAGTCCTTCAAGTCTATGATGTATAAGGTGTTGTGTGAATTAGTTCCTCCTCCCAGTCTATAAGCAAGCAAACCTCTCCATCTTACCATTGATCTTGTCAAAGTTTGAGTCATCAGTATTGATGGCCAACACCTTCCAGTCAGTCTCACCCTCATCGATTAGGGCCAGTGCACCAATGACCTTGACCTGTTTGATCTCACCACGTCCTATCACCTGTTGTCCAACCTCAACCACGTCTATGGGGTCGTTGTCACCTGGATGCTTCGTTCTGTGATCCACCAGTTTAGGATTCTCCCATGTCTGTGGTAGACAACCATAGTTGAACAACAAGTTGCCGTGCTTGATGTAGCGTAGCTGTCCCTTCTTGATGTCTTGTTTGATGGGGTTGAGCAGCTCCTTGGTGTTCACCTCCATCTTGGCGTTGGAGTTCTTTGGCATCTCATTGATGTAGTTGTATAGAGTTCGTTTGTTGTTACTATGAACCAAAGGTACCTCGTGCCATGGTGATATCTGATGTTGACCATCACGATAGTACTTTACACGGAACTCGAATGTACCCTCCTTGCCTTCTTCCTTATGTATAATCTACAAATGATAATGTACTTCCTGTTAACAAAGTATCTAATAGATGAATAGACAACTAAATACTTACGTTCAGTTTGGACAAAGTAGCAGCATTGCTTGCAAAGTATCTGTTGCTCTGTGCAAATGAGCACAACCGATTGCTTATCTTTAACATAATGGATGATGTTGAAGTATTTTAAGTAGTTGTTTGTTTCCTTTTCTAAAGGTCTACCACGTGTAGACATAGATGAATTCATTGCATAAACTTTAGATAACAGAACAAATACTTAAGTGATATAGAATGAAAACATATGTTGATCCTATTGATGGCGAACTACTAGAGTTCACATTGGCAGTGATAAAGATACAGGACAGTGATACTAGACAATGGCTCAATGATAGGATCAGACTGCTCAATAGGTTATTCCTGAATGAGGAGGGCAAGACAAAGCAAGGAAGGGAGATGTTGTTTGATCGCGAGAAGAAACATCTTGCTCAAGAGATCGCCAAGCATCTAGAGGCAACACCACTCTACTATGAACCACTGAGACTCTATCTATCGTAGGACAGTTACAACTACAACCATAACATATGTTAACATCTACTCAGCCAGCCAATAAATCAACCAGTTGCTGGTAGCTATAAATAGTTTATTATTGGATCAAGGACTTGGTGCGTGAACTGTTCTGACGATCTAGTTGGATGCTCTTCTGCTTGGTATAGTTTAACGACTGTGGAAGCATGAAGGAGATACCAAAGATGGCAAGTGTTAGCAGGAACAACACCACAAAGATGAAGTGCTGATCTAATGGATAGGGCAGCGAATGACTGAGCGTCAAGGAGAGGATCGATGTACCAAGAAGTGGTCCGATCGAACGACCAAATGCAACAAGTGATTGAGACATTGAGTTGACCAGTGCCATGTCCTTTGGCAACGCACTGTTGCTCACAATGACAATTACGGCAATGAAGCCAACCTCGTTGGCAAATGATTGGAACAGGTAGGCTGGGAACATCAACACCCAGAATGCTGTTGGATGATCAGCAGTGACGATGGCCGGGTTGGTAGGGTCGACATGCACTGAAATCAGTCGCGTCAACTCTGGTAATGCCAACCAACTGGGTAGGGCAATGAGCAAGGACCCCTTGAAGCACGTAAGGAGACCAAAGCGCTTGGCGAGCGGTGCAAAGACCAACAGTTGGATGAACAGGGCAAAGAATCCGGCAGCACTCTGCACCAGACCAATCTGTCGAGAACTGAAGCTTAAACCACCTCCACTAACGTAGTTGCCGTTATTGTCCACAGTCTTGACACTGGAGCTCCATACAGGGAACACCTCTTCAAAGATGGTGAACACGAAGCCCAGTAGCGAGTAGGCGATGCAGGACCAGAGCACTGGCTTATCCTTGATCAATTGACTGAGTGAACGGGGATTGTCCTCAAACTCCTCCTCTTGCATATCAACCTCCTCAAAGCCATCCTGCTCCTGGTCCATCTCGATCTCCTCAAGAGATGCAAAGTCAGCAATGGATGAGTTACCCTTCATGGCCTTGGCGACATGAGAACTCCTATTGGTTGTGACGCTGGCCTCGTGTGCATGACCCATCTCGATATCACCCTTTGGCTGTTGTTGCTCTTCCAGGGGAATGTGAGTTGTGGTGCTGCCTCTACGGCTCCAGAGACGACGGAGTGAGTTCTTCAATCTGGTAATTGGTTGTCGCAATGCTGATCTCTTCTTCTTCTTCTTAATCTTGGTATACTTGATCTCGAAACTCCTGGTCTCTGGTAGGAAGAAGAAGCATAGAGTCAATCCAATTCCACTCAGGACAAAACATATAATGTTTGGTAAAAGGTATGGGAACTGGCAGAGTGGACCACTGTTGACTATTGATGGATAGTTCTTGCATACATTGGAGAATAATCCTCCGATTAAGGGTGCAACTATAAAGTAGTTCATGTTAGTTAATGATGTTATCAATACACGTGTCATCCTTCAAGTCACAAACATACCAATTGCTCCTATACCCCAGGCGATGCCGAGGATGGTGAAACCAGTCTTCTGGTTGGAAGAGTCGGTAATCTCTCCCAACATTGTCTTGGACACACCCACATTTCCATTAAGCAAACCGGATGCGAATCTAAATAGAATGGACATTGGATAATTCTTGGACAATCCAAACATTATACATGTCACCATGGAACCAATGATTCCTAGCAGGAGTGAAGGTCTTCGGCCACGGACATTGGACAGCCATCCCCAAAAGAAACTGGAGAAGAATTGGGAAATATAAAAGGTAGAAGCAAGGATACCTACAAAGTATCTTTAGTAAAAGAAAAAAGATATTTGATTGGTTAGGTCTCAACACTGATATTTGGTCATTCTTTTATACATACCCAAGTTGATCCTTGTCGTGTGTGAGATGAAAGTCCTCGACCATGAAAGATATATATGGAAAGATGGATAGCGTGGTCAGACCATCACATAGGATGATGATAAAGATTGCAAACAACTTTAACTTTGGCAAAGGAGTAATTGGCTCCTGATCCATTCCGGACGTGGTGATTGTTACATCGCTCATCTCGCTCATTGAAGCAGACGGTGTCACTTCCGAGAGCAAGTGGTCCTCGGTGTGGACTCTACGCAGGAGCTGATCCTTGCTCTCCTCCCTGACAATCGAGGAATTGACTGGGGAGTTGGGATGGCGGGTCGACTCCATTGGACCCTGATCATTGTCATCTAATATTATATTATTATTGTTCCTATTATTGTTTGACTTTTTACTGTCTGATTGGATGGCCATTATTAAAATATTATTTGTTGTTCTGAGTCTAATAATAAAGTATTACATAATAATAATAATAGTATAAGTACTGGTATGATGTATTAGTAGTAGTATAAGAAGGGACTGACTTGGGTTGTAGAAAATGAGAAGTGTCGAAGATTAGAACCACCTGGGTGCGAGTTGTGTGTTCATCAACATCTTTGCTTGTATGTGGAAGAACGGGAAACGAGATGCTTTGGATAAATTTTATCCAACGAGTTCCAAATTTGGAACAAAGGTTGTCGAACAGTGTGACCTGGTGCTATAATGCCCCATAAATGGGGTTCCTGTTTTGATCAATCTTTCCGTTTCTAAGGATCAGTATCTATTTTTCACTAGATAGAACTAAACAAGTTTTATTTATCTATTTAATTGAATAACTTTTCATTATTATTATTTGTATGTTTGGTCAAAGTTAGAATAAAAATAGATATTTAAATCTACAGGAGTTCCGAAAGGTAAGTTTTATCTAACGGACCCAAAGTGTTGTCATCTGGGTTTTTTTTTTTGGTGGCTTTTGAGGGTTTGAAAAACCAAAAAGAAGATTAAAAAGAAAAAGCTTCATTGGAGAACGAGCCAATCACATTTGCACTCAAACTAGCGAACCCATCAAGAGATATATACAACAACAACAACAAAAACATACATATAAATATTTATAATATTGACAAAGTCAAAAGTAACATTATCAGATCAGTCGCCACTAGTCGGTAAGCCATCATTAACTACATACAACACCAGCCAGTTGACAATAGACAGACAGGGTGATAATCGGACAATCGGTCAACAACCAACAACAGTACTGTTACCCCTATTTCAAAACACTCTATGTGTGTGTGTGTGTGTGTGTGTGTGTGTGTTTGACAAGTCAATAATCTTTAGATATACCTGTGTGTTGATGATATCATTTCATTCATTGCTTGGGTTTGAATGATCATTGATTGCCTCAATCTTATGTCTGCATGCATCACTGTTGTAGTGACGACAAACATCCTCATGTGCCAACTCTAACACTTCCCAAACACTCAATGAACCATAAAATGCAACACTAGTTGTTCGCATCAGCAGTGCCTGTATTATACCAAATAATTCGACGATAGAAATCTGCAGAATCAGATCGTAGTAGTAGTAGTAGTAGTACCAAACATTACATTGTATCAACAACAACAACAACACATAGATCAGACAATCAATCATACAGATATACAACAACAACTATGGGTGGATGCTTCTCAAAACAGAACAAGAAGAAGGTGGTCGAGTCCGACATGCTGGCCAGCGATTCGTCGGCACCAGAGTCAAAGAAGTTGAGTGATGATCACAAGAACAACCTCAATCTTGTGGCGATTAACTGGAAGTGTAATACTGTCGGTATCTGGAAGCGAAACCACGACAAGTTGGCCATTCACACCGACGTGCCCCGTCTTGGACACAAGATCGATATCATTGACAAGCTGCATCGTCTCGACAAGCTGTCATTCCAGAGCGTAACTTCTATCAGTCTCAACAATCTGCGCGAGGGAGAGTCTCCAACATACACCACCGAGCTCAGCGGTGCCGCTGCAGCATCCAGCAATGGCGCTGACAAGTTCACCGCCGCCACCACTCTTACATCGGCAGGCATCAGCACGGCACAGGTGCTAAAGAAGGAGGAGGTTGTATTGCAGGTGCTGCTGGCGCTTGCCCAACTGCTTGACGGTCCAGAGAAGCGACAGCAGATCAATGATCAGTATACTACCTATATTAAGGGCGTCGGAGATATCTCACAACAGCTGCTCTCCCTGCTGACCAACGTCGTTGGCGAAGAGAGCAGGATGATGCAGTTGCTCAAGGTGTGTCACCAAAAGATCATCCTGCCAGCCTACTACTTCATCAAAGCGAACATATACGAGGAGATGCCTTTCCGCGACAAGCGCGGCTCATGGCGCATGAGTATGGTGTTTGAGGAAGATGGAAGCATTGCAGCGATCCATTCAAAGCGCCAGCAATCGACTGTCGGCCCCGACGCCGACCCAGAGTTTGAATTTGAATGGACATTGTCCATCATCTTTGACAGGGACATGCAGATCTTGGCACTCAAGGTGGATGTCGTCGACCTGATCATCTCCAACAGCATAACGGTGGACAGGAAACAACAGATACAGAACGCCTTTGCCAACTTGCAGTCAGCCACCACCAACTCCAACAACACAAGTTTCAAGTCGACGGATCCAATCACAATGAGCAAGATTCCTGACTCTTGATTGATTGTCGGGGAGCAGACAAGTTCTTCTGCACACATATTGCACCACAAGACCACTATTTATTATTGTTGTCAAAAATTAAATTAAATTATAAACCAAAAGTTTGGATCTATATTTGTTACCCCCCCAATCACCTGATTGTAGGTATTTCTTTGCTACACTCCTACGACTACTACCACCAACACTCAAACATTGCCACAATTAATACACATATTTTACAGTACTTTATACACATATAACAACACATACACACACACACACACTTACTTTCTCACTCTCACTCTCTCTCTCTTTCTCTCTCTATACTATATAATTTGTGATGGTGATAACAACAGTATGATGGATGATAAGATACTGCCACCAACACAAGGGTGGAATCGAACTAGAGCAATCAGCGATACAAGTTTCAAGTATAACAACTCAGTTCCACCAACATCATCAACACAACAACACCAACAACAACATCTACATCAACATCAACAACAACAACAACATTATCTAGAGTCTGCATCTCTTTCATCCTCGCATTCCTCAATCGCGCTTGTAACAACTTTGTCATCTTCACAATCTTCTCAAGAGTATTATGAGATCTTTGAAGAAGACGACGACGACGACTACTATTACGAAGGAGAGGCAACAACAACAACAACAACAACAATAACAGCAGCAACAACTTTGATAGAGGACGAAGCAGAGAAGGAAGAAATGTCGACCTCAGCAACAACCAACAGCAGCAGCAGTAGCAGTAGCAGTAGCAGCACCCTTACCCCAGCAATGATTGCTTCCTTGGGCTCTAATGACCCATTCATTAGTGGTCACAACACAACTGGACACAAGCACAAGTACCCGACACTGACTCGCACCAAGCGTCGCTCACTACTCAATGCCGACATTGTATCACAGATATTCACAATCGAGGGCACGACGGCAATCAAGCCTCCCTCTCCAACAGCCGCACCACAACAATCAATGCTACATCCTAGTGGAATGCCCTCGCCCACAGAGCGCAAGAGGTCCAGCTACTTCAAGGACGTCAACCGGACATCTAGCAACTCCAACCTCCCCGACATAAACGAAGCCGAATCTTCGGTACCCAGCAATAACAATGGCAACTGTAACAATAGCAACAACAACAACAACAACAACAACAGCGCCATCAGTAGCCCAATGATGGTTTCACAATCACCTGTTGGAAAGTCACAGGAACAATACTCGTCCTCATTCCCTGGACAGCCACTCAAGAAGAGGGCGAGTGCTATCGAGCGATTTGAGAACCTCTTCAGGAAGGACAAGAAGAAAGACTCATCTTTGGTGAGCGAGCCATTGACACCCACTGGAGCTTCATCTACCTCCTCTTCTGTCAGTCACAGCAGACACGGTAGCAGTCATACCTCACCTATAAAGGCGGATGTGGACACGTCGTTTTCAACAAAGATCAGGTTGTCCATCTCTGAGGCCGACCTGATGCACAAGTCCGAGTCGTCCGACAGCAGTAGCGACGAAGATAGTGGCCCTACCAACAACCAGACTGGTGGAAAGGGTCCAACCAACAGGGAGTACCAGGGCAAGACCATGTCCGAGTACATCACAATCACACCACCCTCACAAAGCAGTGGTACAACGACCAGAGGCAGTGATAATGCTGCCAATCTATCACCTCAACGCAAGACGGTCGGTGAGCTAATCGATGATTTTGAAAACTACGAAGAGCAGAGTATACTACAATTGTAAGTTTCCAGATTGATTGCTTGATTGATTGATAGGATTGATTGTTTAACTAACACTTTGGTTCAACAACAAACAGAAAGAGGTTTAAATCATTCGTTGGAACGAGACCAGGAAAGAAGGGCAGGATATGTCCTTCAGGGTTGGATGATGATTCAACTACCACCTCTCCAACATGCTACTCACCACGACGAAGGTTGAGCACAGCAGACAGAGATGAGGTGTGTCATGTTTCTGTTCTTACCTGCGATGGTTGGAGAAGAGAAATGGACTCGGACCACTTCTCTCCTGGCAGCTCAAGTCCATACCAATCATCACCTGGCCATCATCAACAGTTGCTCCTCCTAGAGGAGTTTGAGAACGAGTTGCAACACTATTCTCTATCGTTTGGTGGTGCAGAGCACAAGAACTTTGTCTCTGTCGATCATACCAATGCACCAGTGATAGTCAGTATCATGGAGAAAGCAGAGAAGGTATTGAAGCCAAAGAGGAAGAAGAGTAACAAGACTCTGAACGATCGTCCATCAATCGATAGGACGCTTAGCAACGTGGGCCAGATGGAAGGAAAGCACAAGGTCATTGTCAGAACGATGGAGGGCGAGGACAGATTCTACATACCATCGTCAGGCAAGTCATCTTCGAGCGAACTAATGAGCACTGTCAAGTCACTGTGTCCACCCTTGTCTGGTCTGACCTTCAAGAAGATAAAGACGACACAAGAGATAAAGAAGGGTCTACAACGATGGGAGGATGCACAGGTAAGTTACTTAACTAGGCACAAGCAGCAGCAGCAGCAGCAGCAGCATTGTCCACTCATACACTGACACTATTGTATACATACATACAGATGACTAAAGAGTATAGGTTCGGTATACTCTACCGCAAGAAGGACCAATTCACAGAGAATGAAATGTTCTCCAACAATGACACAAGCAGCGAGTACAATGAGTTTCTCGAGTTCATTGGCAAGCGCATTGATCTCAAGGGCTGGTCCGATTTCAAGGGAGGTCTGGACGTGCGTGACGATACCACTGGAACACACTCGATATACACGACCAAACAATTCACAATTGATGACCAACATTCATTCAAAGTACAGATCATGTTCCATGTCTCCACTCTCCTCCCCTACTACGCACACGACGTCCAGCAACTCGAGCGAAAGAGGCACATTGGAAACGATGCTGTGGTTCTAATCTTCCAAGACCCAGGTTGCCAGCCTTTCCAGCCATCATCAATCCGTTCAGAGTTTAATCGTAAGTAGAATATCAATAGAGGGATGATTCTAACAGTATCACTGACGTCCGTCCTCCATCCAATCCAACATTCACAGATGTCTTTGTTGTTGTGCAACCATTGTCCAAACAATCACCATCAGAGATGACCAAGTATACAGTGTCCATTGCGGCCAAAGAGGGAGTTGGCACGTTTGGACCAGCGTTCCCTGCCACCAAGGTCTGGAGAAAGGACAACCAGTTCTTGGACCATCTCACTGTAAAGTGTAAGTGTTTAAGTCCTTGTGATGATCAATTTGATGATGTAAACTAATATTACTACGACCTATTTAGTAATCAATGCGGAGAAAGCAGCACTCTATGCTCCACCTTTCTATGAAAAGATGAAGAAGACGAGAGCAGTACTATTAAAAACGATAACAACTGGTCACTGAGATTTACTCATCCGACCATAGATATTTGTAGTTTTGTGATCCCGAAATAATTTTGTTATTATTTGAATTGGACATAGCCCCTTTTTTTGATCCACCCCATTATAAAGTTGTATAAGCACGCATGTGTGATTATTTATAAATAACCTAATTATTATAACAATCACATCATTATAAGTTGTCAATCACAAACAAACAGAACAAACAGAACAATCATAACAAACACTGAACAAACCAAACATAACAAACATACATACATTGATTAACAACACATAAGTAATATTGGTTCTATTCCGACGACCAAAATGGTGATCGATGAAGCCAACAGCATTGACGATAGCTCTTCTGATAACTCTGGTGTATTCGAAGAGGATCGAACTAGACAACAGATTGTCGATGAAATAGTAGAGACAGAGACCAACTATGTAGCCGACTTAAAGATCATTGTCAGTGTAGGTAATTGGATATCTCTAATAGATCATCATCATCATCAACAACATGATCAATCATTATCCAATCACTGCTGCTACTGACCAACAACAACAACAACATTGCTGCTCAAAGCTATTCATCGACCCCATTCGTAGTAAGATCAAGCCAGAGGAATACATCGAAGTGTTTGGAAACATTGAGAAGATTTTGGACCTTCACAAAGAACTACTGGTCAATGTCATGCCCATTCCATCAAAGCAAGCTCAACAACAGAACATGGGAGAGTCACTCTACCGGTCGGTAGGTATCTACTTCAACTACCCTAATAAGTTTAACATCCTCACACTCATCATTATCATCAATCAATCAATCAATAGTTCAATCACAAAGACTTTGTACCCCTCTATATAGCCTTCTGCAAGGAGCAAGAGAACAACACGATCGCCTTTGAGAAGTTAAGGTCTTCATCAAAGACATTCGCTGCTTGTGTTGACGCTGCCAAGGAGAGTCCACTGAGCCGACGACTTACATTCCCAATGATGATTATCAAGCCAGTACAGAGGATAACAAAGTACCCGTTGTTGCTCAGGAATCTGATCGAGCATACACCCAAAGACTATCAGGATTTTGAGTTCCTCCAGATGTCACTTGCAAAGATCAGCGGAGTGTTGGATGAGGTAAACAATCAAAAGAGGATTTTGGACGACAGGATAACGAAGATCAAGAAGTTAAAGGAGCTTGCCACCAATCTTGACTATGGCGATAAGAAATTGCCAGAGTCCACAACAAGGGAGTTTGTCAGAGAAGGAACTCTCTCACTGGGGCTTGAGGAGGAGACACTACGGTGTTTATTATTTAATGGTAATGTGTGACAAACTCAAGCTGATCGATCGGTCTCCTCAAGTTTACTTACACTCTCCTTGCCCATTTAGATGTATTTATATTGACAAAGAATAAGAAGAAGAACGCTAGGGTTGTCAAGATACTGGTACTTTCAAAGGTGCTTGTCAGGAACTATATAGAGGTTGTCTATGGCTCCAGTCTCGGTTTCGAGTTGATCTCATTGGAAAAGGAGGAAACACTTCCTCTCTACTTTGGCAGCGATATTGAACGCAACGATTGGTTCGAAGCATTGTACAGACACTCCAACGCAGTCATTGACAATGTCACACGTGGGAAATACTATTGGTTCACCAACAAATGTGTATCCTACGGAGACAAGAGCTGGGCAAACGACACACTGAAGGGCTACAGTGGCACACCACCCCTCAGACCAAACACTCCAACAACATCGATCTTGGGCACTTCTTCACCGGGCAGACTCCTTTCATCACCTGTCAACCACGTTGGCTCCTCCATCAGACCAATATCACCAGTATCAATTACAGCTGGCAGCAAGTCACCACCAACCAATATCATCCGGACCACTTCATCTCCGACTTTTGGCAATGAATTGAAGCCAATCCCAAGGAAGATGCCAGCAACAATCTCATCTATAAAGATTACAGATGACAACAGCAGTATACACGGCGGTTCAGGTGGACCCAACCCTCCTCGAAGACCTGTGGGACAAAACCAGTCCCAGCCACCCCTTTCCAAACCTTTGGGTGCCACCACAGAGCCTCGTGCCAACACTCCTCCAGTGCCCCCTCGAACTGAACAAGGTCCTCCTCGAGGAATGCCATCTAGACCAACTAATGGTTCCACTCAACTGCAACAGAGTTTGGTAGTACCACCAATCATGAAGCCCACACCATTACACCCAAAACCACCTACATCTCCACTCTTTAAACCAATGGCCAAGCCCGCACCAATGCAAACATCTTCATCATCACCAACCTTAAAGCCTGCACAAACGAGACCAATGCCTGCAACACCACCGTTGAAACCGTCACCTATAAGACCAGGACAGATGAAGCCTACGGCTTCAACACCACCAATGAGGCCAGCTCAGCCACTGAAACCAGCACCATTATCCCCACCTTCACCTGTTAACAGCTTCCAAGTAAAGCCCCCACTCGTAACATCAAGTATGCAGCAACGATCGACATTACCATTGCCCGTTCCAAGTAGACCAAACATTGAATTCGGTCTACCAACTCACAGCAGCTCTCCTCAGCTTGGTGGTGGTCGTGTCGCACCTCCACCACCACCGACTGGATCGAACAAACACATATAAATTGATTATATATCACAATTATTTATTATTAATGTTTTGGGAGTTTGTGAGGCTCATACTGTTTGCTGTACCTGTATCCCTGTTGTTGACTTGTTGGCTGGGGGAAAAGCGCCAATCTTTTGGCTCTTAGTTGTAGACCATGTACTTGGGAGTGGCAGAGAACTTGGCATAGCTCTTGATGACCTTGTCAATGGCCTCTAGGAAGTCCTTCTCTGTAACGATCTTTCTGCGAGCACGGATGGCAAACATTCCTGCCTCAGTACAAACGGACCTGATGTCTGCTCCAGTGGAGTTTGGACAGAGACGAGCCAAAAGTTCGAATCGAATGTCTCTGGCACAAGACATGGTCTTGGCGTGGATGGTGAAGATGTGAGCACGACCCTCAAGGTCAGGAAGTCCAAACTCAACCTTGCGGTCCAGACGACCTGGACGGAGGAGGGCTGGGTCAAGGGTGTCTGGTCTGTTGGTAGCCATCAGAACCTTGATGTTTCCACGTGGGTCAAATCCGTCCAGCTGGTTGATTAGCTCGAGCATTGTTCTCTGGACCTCGTTGTCACCACCGGCGCCATCGTCAAATCTGGCACCACCAATAGCATCAACCTCATCAAAGAAGATAATGCATGCCTTCTTGGATCTAGCCATCTGGAAGAGATCACGCACCATTCTTGCTCCTTCACCAACGTATTTCTGCACCAGTTCACTACCGATTACTCTGACAAAGGCGGCGTCTGTTCTGTTTGCTACGGCACGCGCACAGAGTGTCTTTCCTGTACCTGGGGGTCCGTACATTAATACACCTTTTGGTGGATCAATACCGAGCTCGACAAATTTCTCTGGCTGCATGCAGAGGTCATGGTTAGATGGTCAGTAGCACAATTGACATTGATGCTGCTTCGTCGGTAATACATACATGTAGCAATGGCATCTCAACGACCTCTCTCAGTTTCTCGATCTGCTCCTTGCATCCACCAACATCCTTGTATGTGATATCTGGCTTCTCCTCCACTTGCATCATTGTCACTGATGTATCGATCTTTGGTGGCAGTGGAATTTGAATCTGGTACTTGTTACGGTCAACTCTGCAATGCGAGAAACTAATTAGAACAAAAGACAGAAAACGTCATTAAATTGGTTGATGTAAACTAACTTACCCAACACGGATGCCCTCCTCAACATCAGTTGGTGATAGCTTGTCGCCAAGGGCAACAACAAACTTGGCAATCTGCTTCACAGCAATGATGTACTTGGCGTTTGGTGTGCCTGGGTTGATGATCTTTGTGCAACGGGCCACTTGTAAAGGTGGCTCCTCCTGTTGGGAGTTCTTGTCCACAATAAGGTCCCATTGAGAGGGTGGTCCAATTCCTGTGTCAGACTCTTTGATTCCACATATTTCATTGACCTTGGCAGTCATCTTCTTGATATCTTCCTCCAGAGTCTTGATTGGCTTTGTATAAGGTCCTACACCCTGTTGTGATTGTTTTTGTAAGTCAACTATAGAGAGGAGAGAGAGAGTATATATGTAGTTGATAGATTCATACATAGTTCTTGAGAATAGCAATATCGCCCTCATCCAAAGCCTTTGGTGCGACCTCATTAAGCATCTCATCTTCGATCTCTTCTTTGTTGACCATGTTGATGTTGTTTTAAATATTTGTACAAAATTATATCTAACTTAATTCAAAGTGTATTCTATCGATGAGTGTATGTATACTAATATAATATATATATAATAACAAGTATTTGTTTGTATCTGTGTATGAATGTGAATAGTGAACTAATCATCACAATTTGAGTGAACTTTGAACATCACACAAATTATTATTTAAATTTAATTTTTGACATTATATGAAGTTCGATATCAACAATCAATGAGTGTTTGAATATTCTCGATGACCAATATCAACTGATCATGGCGACCAAGTTGGGCGGACTCGATCACCAATGGAAACCGAGGTCATCTTCAAAGCGATGATCTTTAACCGTTCAACCGAACTATTCCAGTTGATTTTTTTCTGTAACTCTGAAAAGTAAATCAGATTGTTGACAATGTTTCTTTTCCAAAGCCGGTCGCATTCTAATTGAATATTTCAATGACTTTTTCAGGATGATTGGGCTCCGCCCAATCAGGGGGTTTTTTGTTGATATAAACGCGTTTAAGTCATTCGATTCACTACTCTTGTTTTAATTACAACTACACACATAATAATAATAATTAGATAATGTCTAATACATTCATTACATTCTTTGTTGGACTTTACAATTTGTTAAAGTCATTTATTGATCGACTACTTTCCTCCTTGATCATCTACAACAGCATCAGTGGACATAGACCAGTACATATGTCCACCACTGATATGCCCAGCCGATCGACTTACTGTTCACAACCCATCAATGGTGCCACGCCAACGACCATAGCAAATCCGGTCGACAAAGTGTTCCAAGATAACTTCCTCAATGACGTGTTCTGGGCCCTGTCATCACAAGGACCTGCGTTTGCCATCGACGAGGCCAACGTCCACTTTGTTGAGGGTCCAGTTGACTTTTTCGATCAACTTATCAGTGGAATTAGGCGTGCCAAGCATCGCATCAATATGGCATCACTCTATCTGGGCACTGGAAAGCACGAACAGCAACTGGTCGACGAGATGATAGCCGCTTGCAAGCGCAACTCTACTCTAAAGGTGCACATTCTCGTTGATGGACTTCGAGGCACCCGCTTGGGACCAAGCACTGAGAAACCAGGAATACGTGTCAGCTCAGCCACCATGCTCCAGCCCTTGCTCAATCAGTTCCAATCTCGCGTTTCAATCAGCATGTATCACACACCAGACTTGAATGGTGTCCTCAAACGCATCCTGCCACCACGTGTAAATGAGGTCATTGGTGTCCAACATCTCAAAGCCTATGTGTTTGACGATGACCTTATCATTGGAGGGTATGTAACTCTTGTTGGTTAATTAGCCTAAACAAGTTCATAGATTATTAACAATATGATGATCGTCACCTTACTCATCCTCCGTCACTAGAGCAAACTTATCAAAGGACTATTTTACAGATCGACAGGATAGGATGGTATGCATATACCGCACCGCCTCCCTATCTACTTTCTTTGACAACGTTGTCAACACTATTGGCGAGCTCTCACTCAAGCAAGACACAAATGGAAACAGTGTCAATCAAGGTACCATCGATCCGGTCACCGAATCATCTCAATTCAAGTTGATGGCAGAGAAACGTCTGGCCTCTCTATTAGAGCCAAACTCCTTTTATACTGCCGACAACTTTAAACATTCTTTGTCTTCACCACTGGATGTCCAGTCATCTACTTCCAAAGCCACCTGGATCTTCCCAACCATCCAGATGGGACCTTTCAACATTCGCCATGACGAGGTTTGCTCATCCTATATATTTGCAAACATACCATCCACTTCCAAGTTCTTTGTCGCTTCACCCTACTTCAATCTCACCAAGAACTACCTTCAACTGATACTCTCTGGCAAGCCACAGATCGACATTATTACATGCTCTCCAGAGACCAATGGATTTGCCGGTGCCACTGGTATGTCTGGCGTCGTGCCCGACCTCTATGGAATAATCGAGCGACGCTTCCTACAAAAGACCATCGACACTGGTAACAGCGGACGTATCTCCATCGTGGAGTACATTCGCCACAAGTGGTCATACCATGCTAAGGGCATGTGGATCACTGCACCCGATCAGAAGCTCCCAAACATAACATTGATCGGTAGTCCCAACTTTGGTTCGAGGAGTGTCGAGAAGGATCTAGAGGCTGAGCTCATCTTTATAACAGAGAATGAGGCACTGCGCCAAAAGATGAACAGTGAACGAATGAACCTGTGGCGCGAGACACAAACAGTCGACATGCCAATGTTAAATGCACGCAAAGTTACACTGTGGGTCAGATTTATCGTTTATCTCTTTGGAAACTACTTGTAGTTACTGATCAATAAAAACAATCATTCTGTTATAACTACGACTCAACAACAACAACAACATACATATATCATATGATGACTACTAGAAATGTTAGGGTGGTAAACTCATTGTTAATCTCGAGCGTCAGAGCAAGCACTCTACCCATCTTATTGTCATCTATAGGAAATACATCATGCTCTATAAAGTTACAACAAAGGTGCTACTCTTCTGAACAGATACATCAGCAAACTCTTTCAACTAAAGCGCAGGAGCATAAAGTAAGAAGCATTGTACAATGTCGACATTAAACAGCATCTGATTTACTGATAACCTATTAGAGGACCAGAGATCAAGTGGTGACTGCTTTCTCAAGTCAACTTAGACTGTCCATTGTCAACCTGACAAAGGCAGCCAATGTAGCCAAAGTGAAGCATGGATTGTCGGCACATGAAGCATCGCTACTGGGCAAGATGATGGCCGGTGTCACTCTGTGTGCATCATTTCTGACAGATGAGGAACGCATTGCCGCACAAATCAAGTGTGATAACAGGAACCCAAATGTAAGATGCCCTTTTACTACTACTATTTAGTAACACCTTTGCCAACTGATGTTTCCCTATCTGGATAGGTGATCTATGCAGAAGCTATACAGGTTGGTGAAGTACGTGGGTATATATCAAACAGAGATGTCACCATTCAAAACAGCCAGTCAGTCGATCGCCCTGAAGGCACGCTCAATTTCTCAAAGGTTCTGTATGGTCTGCAAAAGCCCATAGAGAGCATAGTACCGATGAATGATTACTCAATTTCTGGAGAGTTTGATAACTACTTCTCACTGTCGGAACAGATACCCAGTGTCATTGCTCTTGAACACTCACTTGGACATGACAATGGTGTTCAGTTTAACGGCGGTTTGTTGGTCCAATCGCTACCGTCGACACCGACATCAATAATAGACGCAGTTCGAGCGAATGTCCAAAAGTACAACATTGAACAGCTGTTGAGCGATGAGAAGAGGTCACTGGAGGACATACTCAGATTGATGGCACCTCACGAAATTGAGATCATAGGAAGCACCTTTGTGGATTTCTTCTGCAGGTAAACATTTAGTCATCAGACCACTTTATCAGTAACTATGCCACTCACACACGCATCATCACCATCTCTGCACAGATGTAGTTTGAAGTCGTTCAAGAGCAAGATGCAAATGCTTGGATTGGAGGAGGTAAGATACCTTAAAGAGCATAAGCATGACACGCTCAGCTGCAACTATTGTAACAAGAAGTACACACTCTCTTCTGAGGACTTTAGCGAAATGATCCAAAAAATCGAGTTGGGTTCTAATAGATCGGAGTGATTTGTTTTGTCTTTATTGATGAATTAAAAACATAGTCATTCTGCAGCTTGTGTGCAAGAGCTTGTCTGTCATTGATCAAATATGCTTTGGGATGACCAACAAGTATAGTAATATGTACACAACAATCAGAGCAGATTGGTCGACCATAGTACAGCCTCAGCTGAGGTGCACCATGCTACCATCACAGTGCCATCACATATGAAGACGGCATCAGCGCCATTGATATCGTCATGGGTGCTGAGCAGTGAGTTCAATGCCAATCGCAAGCCTGCCAACTGGCTCTACGGTGTTCCGAGCAACATCACGACGATGACGCTGGTGCATTTCAATTGGCCTCTTGGGCCAAACGTGCTGCCCTCGTCACTGACCTCAATTACCTTTGACAAAGGCTTCAACCAGCCATTGCCGCGCTTCTCTATCCCACCAAACGTCACATCACTTTCTTTGGGAGATGATTTCAATCAGATGATGCTCGTCAAAGGCCTGCCAACCAAGTTGACCTCGCTCACATTCGGCAATGCATTCAATCAAGAATTGCGAGTTGGCTCGCTCACAGCCTCTATCACAACGCTCTCCTTTGGACGGGAGTTCAACCAGCCACTTAATACAGACGGTATCCTCACAAACGCTTTGACCTCACTGACTATTGGCGAACCTAGGTTCAACCACATATTTTCCAAGACAATGGCATGCTCACTCACATCATTGACTGCTGGCGAACAGTTCCTGCTCTCAGAGATCGGCAAGCTCACTGCCGTCACAACGTTGGTGCTTGGCCACGATTTCAACCAACGTCTGCCGAGCGGCTCACTGCCTCGGTCCATCACAGAACTCTACCTGGGCGATGAGTTCAATCAATCGTTGGAGATTGGATCAATCGATTCCTCAGTCAACAGTGTTGGTTCAGTTTGGAGAACGCTATGAGCATCCGTTGCCCATTGGCACCATTCCAAACTCAGTCACCCGTCTTATCCTTTGAGGAAAGTGGCTACCTGTCCACTCACAACGAATGGCCACCTTGGAGATTGGCAGTTTCAATTCAGCAAGGGGCAGAGGCATGTCTTTGCCAGATTCACTCACATCAGTGAAGATTAGATACTGTGACGAGATGGACTCGCAGTCAATGCCAGCACTCACTCCATCAGTGACAAGCCTGATTGGTGTACATTTTGTCTCGCCATCTAAATTGCATTCTGGATGCATAACATCGTCCGTCACAGAGTTGTCATTTGGCCAGCACTTCAGAGGGCCATTGGTTCCGGGCTTCATTCCGCTATCAGTGACGGCAATCTCCTTTGGGCCACACTTTCGCCAAAAGCTGAACGGTGACCTTATCCCAACATCGGTCACTTCTCTCTCAGTGTGCTTCGATCGTCTGTCGGATTTGAGTGACCTCCAAATGCTTGACAGATTGGAGATGTCCCAGGGCACCCTGATCAGGCTTGGAAAGGAGCTGGGCAAAGCTCCTTTGAAACGTCCCCTGTCCAAAGAACTATTGGTCAATGTTGTTAACGGCGAGGGATTCACACTCTCCATGTTGGACATTGCACCAACTATATCGTATTCTGGACGCATCAACTTCAGCTTCCGAAAGATCAGAGACGGCCTTGTCTGTTTGGTTGTCTTCCAAAGGTATTGGATCACAGCAATCTCACCTCGAACGAATTCTTCTCCCTCTCTTTGTGGCGACATATGTATGTTAACACTTCGGCGATGTCCTGCAGGACTGATGGTGATGGATGACCCACATCCATTTTTGTGAGTTATCATACTACCGGTCAAATGGCAACTTAGTGTTAGATATCATCAGTGGCATTATCAAAGAGCTCTTGGGTGTCAGACTCCGGCCATTGGCATTCAACGACATCAATGTTCATCTTGCCCAGTATGAGTTGCTTGACTCACTCGGGCAGCTTGCCAACTTGTCAACTCTCAAGATCCACATCTCCCAATCATATGACTGGTTACCAGAGAATACCAACGATGTTGTCAAGTCGTTGTATGATTACCTCACCAAAGCAAGCACCCATCTCCATAAGATAGAGGTTAACATCATACTCCATGAAGTAGTTGGCCATCATCTCTTGCAGCACCWATTCGCCGATGAGTCATGCACCATCCAGAAKCTGACAATACATGCATGCGCATGCTGCTTTCCGATAAATGGATGCCATCCCCTGCTCAAGGTCAAGATCACTCTTGATCCCATCGAACCCTGCATGCCATGACCACTCTAGTTGCCATAACAATGATACCAATGAAGACAAAGAATTGCAGTGCGAGATCTACTATGGTAACACCACGCTAGCCAGTCCACAGCTGCGAACCAATCCAGTTGGGTTTCAGGATCGATATGTTCATCTTCTCAAYTCGTTGTCCMATGTGCRTCATCTCCATATGATCATGACACAAAACGCCTCCATATACCACTTTGTCAATAAGATCAGATGGTCACCATCCATCTCTCATTGTAGCACCCTGCAAACATCCTTCATGGTGCAACTACAAGTTGATGTAGATTACTCCAACAGAAATGAATGTAGTATGCAGCTTCATCTTGATGAGCCGAGTCTGATGATGTATAATAGTTGAACTTTGTTTGTTGTTGGTGGGATCTGGTGTTGCCAACAGGTGCTGGATGTCTTTGACAAGCACTTGTAGATTGGTTTAAAGGCAATGAATGTGTTATGCATCGCTTCATCTTGGTGAGTTGAGTATGTTGGTGCATAATAGGTGAATGTTGGACGATGTTGGTCAGCAGTAAGGTGTGCTACAATCGATCAAGATGTTGCACTATAGCTGTTGATGATGACGATCCATGTTGATATAGATCACGATGAACGGCAATGAATGTGGTATATCGCATCATCTTGATGAGTCGAGTCTGTTGGAGTATCATAGGAGTTGTTGGATGGTGTTGGTCCGTGGTTGGTGTGCGACGATCCAAGTTAGCTGTAAAAGGTTGTCTTTTCATGGCTGTCCAAGACTGTAATTCCTATGAATCACTTCAACAGTGATGTATAATATATTGATCGTTTTATCTTGATGTGTTGAGTATTACTATACTATAATCTTGATTGGTATTAGTTATTTTTAGAAGTAGAGGTGCGACAATCAGTCCAAGGTTTTGATTGTTACCTGTGAAGTTGAATGTTGATGACCAAAGTTGATGAAGATTACTCCAACGACAATGAATATAGTATGTATCGCTTCTTCTTGATGGGTCGAGTCTGATGATGTGTCATAGGTGTTTGTTGGACGATGTTGGTGATGAGTGGAGTGCGACGATCGTAGTTGATGCAACAATGTGAGYGTATCCTGGGCTGTTGTTGAATGTGTTGCTAAAGAATAGCTTCAGTAGTGATGTACAATATATCTATCGATTCACCTTGATGTGTTAAGTCTGTTGGTATGTCAATTGTAGGTGTTATAGAGACGTTGGTGGCAGTTGGAGTGCGACTCTTGGCGTGTAAAGGGAAATGATGTCTCTTCTGCAAGCTGTACTTTGTAAGAATAGGTTCAACAGTCACATATTATATATAGATCGATTCCTGTAGATGTACTGAATTGTCAAAGTGATTCAAACAACTGTGAAATTTTGATTAAAATTAATTATTGTTTATTAATATTTATTTGTTTTTCCAATATGATGTTTAGACAAGTGTAAAGTATGATAATAATGTTAAATGATTATGGTTAGTATCTATGAGTTTTAACTGTTTGAAAAAGTATATGTGTTCGAACTTCCATCCCATACAAACTTTCTCTTGAAGAAAAATAACTTTATAAAATAACTCATATTAAATTGAAAATATTACTCTGATATATTATTTGGTGTAACTAGTTTACGCTATTGAAAGGGATAGTCCCAAAGATTATTATTTTTTAATAGTCTACCATACAAATTTTAACAACGGATCTTGTGTAAGGCAACTTCTTCATTTAATATTTTTTATTGTAAAATCACTGGCAACTCACTGGCTATTCACTGTCTATTCACTGGCTATTCACTGGCAACTCACTGGCAACTCACTGGCAACTCACTGGATATTCACTGGATATTCACTGGCTATTCACTGGCAATTCACTGGCAACTCACTGGCTATTGTGACGACTTGTCACATACGATTCACAATGTGTCACCATGACTCATACATTCTATCATTGCTGAGTCATCATCCTGGAATCTACAGAACACTATTCCATGTTCCATCTAATCAGTATATATACATCATTCATACACTAATAAAGCGGGCATTCTATCATCTTATATTTGTTATACAGTATATATTTTCTTTGATAAGAAAGTATAACAAATATAGATATATATATATGTATAACTGTATAATGTATATATATGATATGTATATATATGATATGAACCTAGATAATATATTTGCAGCAGCAGATTGTCGCAGGGCAGTAGAGATGCATGTTGGTGATGAGGAGGTACACGATTCCGAAGCCGAGGACATTGAAGAGACAGAAGATGTGATAATTGAAGCGTCACCTCTCTTTAAAGGTCTTACATTGAAACCAGTGCAGCAAGTTGTCAAGCTGACATCCAAAACAACACTGGAGATTCAAGACCTGTACCGTGACTGTCAGTCCGAGATCACCGAGGAAACGCACGACAGAAAAGGAAGGAAGAGGAAGATCAGTTACCTCGATGTACTGGGACGGCAAGAATCATGTCTACGGATGCAAGTTTGAGGTGGCCGTCCTCGGAACCAAGCCCCACTACGCCGTGTTTATGAGCAAGCATCACCTTGCGTCGAAGCACGACTTCACAATCCATAAGGAGGAGCATGAGAAGTATGCTCACTACCTGGTGAGATCGATGGCTACAGGACACAGAGGTTTATCTTACTTGGTGACACAGCATATCATGGTCCATCCGACAGGACTCCTGGCGTGCGGCGCGTTGCTATGATGAAGTCACCCGAGCTGGCAAAGGCCAGTGAAGGAGAGAAGCTAAAGAACAAGATTCTCACCAAGAGGAGAGTGGTCATCGAGTGCTTCTTTGGTCGTTTGGTCAACCGATATCTCCTCTTTCGATTCAGATACGAGCTTGACCACAAGTTCCTCGATCAGGACTTCTACAACTGCTGTCAATTGACCAATCAATTCTACTACAATTCTACTTTCAGTACGTGTCACCGCCATAGCAGTGAGCACGTTGGAACTCTTTTTCCAACGAGTATCTGTCTAATCAATGTAGAATTGTAGTAGAAATAGAGTTTAGAAGTTCAAAATAATAATAATAATTAATCCTAAATTGAGGAGGTTATTTTTGTAATTCTACTACGATTCTACTTTCGATACTTGTTAGCACTGTAACAGCTTGCACGCCCAAGAGAGTTACCAGGAGTGTACTTCCGAAAGTTCACACACTGTTCACCAATTGTTCACCGAGCATTTATTGACTGTAGTCCATGTCATCGCCATCATCTTCGTCTGTTGTTATGGCTTTATCATACGTTTGATCATCGAGCCATTGATAGGGAGCTGAGCCATGTGAGCACGCAGAGGGAGGAGGAAGGTTGGCAACATTGAGAAATGTAGTGATGGACAACCAAAGTGGCTTGGAAAACAAGTTCTCCAGGGCGTTGGTTGAAGGGATGACCAGCTGCACATTTGACGGGGACTTTTTGCCACCGACGACTCTCTCCGGATTCAATTGGACTGCGCAATGCTTTCCTGAGACCATTACGTTGCTCAGAGTGGGGATTTCATCGGGTTGGATCTGGATGTTTGGTGAGACAACAACCGCCACAAATGTCACATCTGGAATGGCAGCTGATGGGCACACTTTTTTGAGCTCATCCAACAGTTGATTGGTGGTGATAGACAGCTTGACAATGAAAGCCAGTACGACATGGTCGGAGAGCTTGACGTAGAAATCAGAGCTTAGGGACTTCGGACCCGTTCTGTAAAGGATGAAAGGAGAGCAACGCTTGATGACCAGGCCAAAGGAATCAAGCGAGCATTGGATGTCTGGTTCGGTGGATGAGTTGGCATCTATGGTGAGAAAACTATCAAGACCCTGAACGTTGTCCTGAATCTTCGGTCCAGTTCTTCGGACAAAGATGGGAAACCTCTTCGCAGTGGACAGGTCCACAAGTGGGAGTGTCCAAACAATATCCTTTGCTACTGAAGTCTGGGTGTGGGTATAAGTATGAGAGTGATACAGGAATCTCACGATGATTGAGTACTCACCGAGAGGAAACTGAACAGGAAAGATGTGGTTGGGTTGGGGTTGATATCCCTGCAAGCAATGAGCTTGCAGACAATGCTATGCGCAAGGGAGCTCTCAAGTGGGGTCCCGGTGATGTGTTCGCTTCTGGTATAGGCTCTGTACCTATTGACCAGNCGGCGAGTTGTTGTACTTCTTGGTCCTTGTCTCCTGTCGAAGCAATCTCCTCAATTGTCATTGGGGGAACACGGACATAGACAAAGTGTTGGCTGTCCTCCATTGGCTCAATGTAAACATTCA